TGGAATAAATTTAGGCAAAATCAAATATATTTTCTATTTATTTTTAGATTAAAATATAAAATTAAAAAATAGAGATCTGGAATAAAAATAATTAAACTAAATAAATTAGAAAAAATTAAAAAAAGAATAAAAATAATTAAACTAAATAAAGTAGAAAAATATATATATAAAAAAGGAGAACTAGACAAAAAATAATTAAACTAAATAAAGTAGAAAAAAATAAAGGAAAACTGGACTAAAATTAATTAAACTAAATAAAGTAGAAAAGAATTTTAAAAGAAGAAAAAAACTGGAAAAGAAAAACTCGGTCCCAAACATGTTGAGGGCATTATGGTCTTTTTACATGTCGAAGGAGGTATAATGGTGTTATGGACATAGCTAGGAGGGTAATTGTCCTTTCATAAAATTTTGGGGGAAGGGGGCAAATAATATTAAGATCCAGTGCGTGAATCACACACAAGGGAAAAGAAATTAGAATTTTTGAGTCCGAATAAAAAGAGTCCACACGCGCATTTAATCACCCAATTTTATCCTCCTTTTTTTGGCATTTAATCCCTAATCTTATCCTTTTTTTTTGGCATTTAACTCCCTGATCTTATCCCTTTTTTTTGGCACCCGATTAATTTTAAATCTTTTTTTTATTTACTTATCATGTTAGCTTTTATATTATTTTATTTTATGAGATAATTTTATATAACGATGGATTTAATTTTAGTAAACCTTACTATAGTTTAATCATTGAGACTTATGAATATGGAGAATCAGTGTGTATTTTCTCAATAATGAATAACTAAAGTTTAGACAATGAATAACGTTATGCAATTATTGAAATATGAATGATGTAGAATGTATTCGTTTTATTGGTGAATATACATACGTAAGGTAATGCGTAATATATGGTTACTGATGAACAAGAATTTCATTGTTTTTTTTGGTAGATGGTGTATTATCTTGTTAAGATTTCACGATGAGTACCTTATTTTAAGTAATGAATAACAAGTTGTTATTGATGAATAACAGATGATGTGCTTATTGGACGATGCTTCAACTATGAGGAATGAATAACAAGATGTTATTGATGAATAACAATGCAAACTTGATGAATAATGATCTCATCCTAAATAAATAACAATATTATATTAAAAAATAGCTATAGTTTTACAAGATGAATAATTATACTTTAATGAATGAATAATACACGTTAGTAAATGAAGAACTTTGATAACAAGAGTATATATTACAATGAGATAATGTAAATAACAAAACTAACAAACTTCTAATTATGGGTTATACTAGACAAAAACTGAACAAAAACACTAGTCACTATTTTTAAGATATAAGATCTTGAAAGATTCGTCGATGTTCGATTCGTTTATAATGATTGATTGATTTCAGCAACTCTGATAAAAATATTTTATTCCCGACCGATTGACTTCATCTTGATGAGCATTTCTTTGCTGTTGATAAAACAACAAGAACATTATAATAAATGAGATTTGACGTTCAATCAAAACTCTGTTAATCATCAATAACAATGCTATTGAAGATGAAGAATCATTTTGAAAATGATGAATAAGCATTAACATTACATAAATCGAATATAGCAATCGTGCACATGTGCATATTAAATGATGAATAATAACATCATTGGTAATGAATGACATATCTTTGCATAATGAATACACATATGTATGGAATGAATAACACATGTTCACATGATGAATGACATATATTAACAGGATGAATATTACAATTCTACAGGATTATTGACACATTTACAACCGTGCATAGAATAATAACCCTTTACTAATGAATAACTGCTAATGAATTAATGAATAATTGTACATAGATGATGAATAAAATTAGAGACAATGAATAACAATCCTTTACTAATGAATAAATAAGTCGATCTAATGAATATCACAATGGCAATGAATAAATAAGTCGATCTAATGAATATCACAATGGCAATGAATAAATAAGTCGATCTAATAAATATCTGATGATGAATAATATATTCGCAGATGATGCAAACATAAAAAAAAACAATAAATATCTGATGAATCATGTTATCGCTATGATGAATATTGACTACGATATGATGAATAATATCAGCATATAGAAATAATTTATCGAAGTAACTATAAAAAAGATTAAAAATTCTAAAACATTGATAAAGCATTATAGAAAACTGATGAACAATGCATAGAACTCTTTATCTTTTACAAAATGAGCATCATTTCAATGAACAAAACTGATAACTTGATGAACTAACATCAGTAATCGAGAGATTACTCTTAGATTTACATAACCCAAATATGCGGCTGACCACAAATATATGATGAATAATGACATCGATTTGATGTTTAACGATACCTAAATGAGAAATACTGTTAGATCTACTAAGAATTTATCAAATCAACCATAAAAAGATGAACAAGACTAAAAAATGATGAAGAAACATTATATATATGATGAATAACGATAGAAAACTGATGAACAATTCCTAAATCTATTAATCTCTTCCCAAATCAACCAAATTTCGTTGAACAAAACTATTAAATTGATGAACCAACATCAGTAATCGAGCGAATAATCTTAGATCTACATAACCCATTAAAAAAAAATCATTTATTTAAGAGACCAGTAGTTTTACCTCATAAATGGATCAGAATCCGAATAAGAATAAACGATCGTTGATTTCTGCATAAAAGTTTCGGATCAAATATCAATATTTAAACATCATAAATGAAAAAATCAAGAAAAATTGATGAATACACGATGAATTTAACCGTAATTTACCCGAATTTTCATCTTCTGCCAACCAAATTAAATCACTGATTTAATGCAAAATATGAGTTCTTCATCGAAAGAACCGCCGACGAAGCTTTTTGTTTTTGTATCGCCGGAGGTTTGAATTTCGAGAATCACCGTTTTGAAGATTTGAATTGGTGAATCAAAAATTTGCAGAGAGGTGGTTGCGGGGAGGTTTGAAATAACGAGAGAAAAAATAGGATCTTCAATTTGAGAGAAAAATGGATGAAAATGGGTTGAAACTGTTTAATGATTTTACTACATATAAGGCGCGTGTTGTACACATAAATGATATTTTTCTGAATATTTGGAAGTGCACTATTTTCGTGCGCGTGAATGCCACCCTAGGAACAATGTGTTCCTAGGTGCCGTGTATTATAATTGGGGGAAGGGTTTGGGACGTGTGTGCTGTAGTTTTTAAGTAAAAACAACCGGCCTTATAGGGCCGCAGGAAATAGAAAATTGAGATATTTGACTTTTAGAAAACCAACTATTTCTTTCTTCACTCAGTTTAGTCTACGCAAGTCCATATTATGTACTGTAGTTTCTTGTGGTAATCAGGTCGTTATCACATCTTTGGATAAGTTATTATTCAAAATAAATCTATAGGTGTACACATGCGTTACTTTGAACTTAATGCTAAAGCTACGCACTGTCATTGTTGGACACAATCACTTCCAAGCTGCAGAACAATGCGGGTTTATACTTTTTTGTAGTAGTTCTATGAATAAAGCAAGTTCAAAGTTGTTTTCCTGAATTCTTAAGGGATTCAATGTACACGGTTGTTATGGTTAGTTATTGCTCCAATGGTGCACCGACATGGGTCTTCATGCTTCGCAGACCAAATTTATATAGAAATATGTTGTTGGGATTGGATGAGGATGAACTGGGGGGGTTGAATTTGAGTATGAAAAGCACAATTTTGAAAACTCGAATCATGATTTTGCACTTCTGCAATTGAATGTTCTTGATTTATCTTGTTATTACCTGGCAGGAGGAGAAAAAACTTGTTCAAGTCCATTGTGATCCTTCCCATAGACTAGTAGTAGCCGATTGCATTTTACTGGATGTTGATACAGCTGTTGTGACAGACCAGAAGGAGGGTGTCTCGTCCCGGCCACAACATGCAGACAGTAAGATGGGATCTGCTTTTGAAATTTGTGTTATCAAACAGGTTGGGACGAGGAAGATGCTCGACGGCGACATGCCAGCACAATTTTTGGAACTCACAAACAAAATGCAACAAGAGGCCGTGCCTGGCATCAACTCTGCCCTCCCATGATAAAGAAACCACCAGTTCAAAGCATTCTCGAATCTCTCTATCAATGAAGTTGTCCGACCACTGGTTTGAGATCACAAGCACACAACATTCTGGAATCACTGTCAATGAGGTTTGCCTGACTACTGGATGGATTCACTCGCCTTAAATGTGTTCATCAACGATTACTGCCACCACCAGTGGTTTGAGATTATGCTTGTACCAGAACCAGATGCGGACTCCTTGAAAATCCCTCCCGTCATTTTTTTGAAAAAGAAAAATCCCTTCCGTTAGGTTGTTAGTTTCCCCTAGTTGAAAATTAATTTTGGACTGGGGCAGTGCATGTAGTATGGATTTCACGAGCCCTTTTCCGTTCTTTTTGCATCGGAAAATTGACTGACTTCACCAAAATAAGGGTGAAAATTTTGACTTAAAATGCTAAATAAAATGAGATATGTACTACAATTTTTATTTTTTTTTAATCATGTTGGGCAATACTGAATTAATAAACCTGGTACTGAATGCGACAAGACCACCAAGTTGAGATTGGTCAGCTAAAATGAAACTGTTTCTAGTATGGTAATGAGTAGCGACGTTATGATGTGATATTTGTCACAGTGGATTTTTATTGTTCTTATACAACACATATCTATGAAACTAACACTTCTTTTTGAAGTATACATCAGATTTGGGGAGTCCTTATCTAAAGTTTGAGACAAAACAAGTAAAAGCAGTTAAATACAGAAGAAGTCCAGGCCATCTTACTGTTACCATGAGATATATGCAAGGATGATTTCAAATGTGTTTACTCAACTTCCATAGCTCACTACTTCGCTACTTATTTGACAAAAGCACTTCGTGAACCAAAAACCAAATTCAAGATAAAACTTATTCATGACAATTGTTTGAGGTGTGAGCCGAGAGTTCCCTAAGGTTGAATCTGTTTACAACTGATGAATGAAAAGTAGGCTAGGTAAGGTTAGACTTTGACACAATTTATCACAGTTGAGGACAGAATGCAACATAATGAAAAAGTGGAGGAAGCTCTATCCTCATGATTAACAGGAACCAACAGAATGCAATTGTTACACATTCTACAACTCATAAAATGACCTGAAATGAATATTTTTCCTCATGATTAACAGGAACCAACAGAATGCAATTGTTACATATTCTACAACTCATAAAATGACCTGAAATGAATATTGACAAAAAACCAAATCACTACCAAAGACTAGAACTTTCAAATGATCTCTTACAGTACAGAAGAAAAAGTAATTCACAGCAGAAACTACAGTACAATATATCAGTTACCAAGGTCATAGCAAAACCGCTGTAGAAGCCCCGGCATAGTCAGTAGCTCTTTCCTACATCATTGATCTCTCCACCTTGGACTCGGGATGGTAAAAAATCCAGATGGAGACAAAGGAAATCCATAACCAGGAGAAAGAGGCATATGAGGACCTGGACCCAATATTCCCGATTGGCCCATGGGAGAAAAAGAAAAATTAGGTGTCATTGGAGGAGGATGCTGATAACCTGGAGAAAGTAAAGGATAAGGTGATCTGGGAGATAGCGTATTAAAGAAACCTGGAGATGGCAAAAGAAACTGAGAAGTAGGAGAGGGTAAAAGTGGTGGAGGACCATTCATTCGAGGTGAAGGAAGAGATGGTGGAGGTCCATTCATTCTGGGAGAAGGAAGAGGACGAGGCCCATTCATCCTAGGGGATGGAAGGGGAGGTGGGGCATTCATCCTTGGAGACATAAGAGGAGGTGGGCCATTCATCCTAGGTGATGGAAGAGGAGGCGGCATGCTATATCTAGGAGATGGTTGCGTAGGCATGTGTGGGTTAGGAAGTAAACCAGATGCAGGTGGTGGAACGTGGTTTGAGACAGGACCTTGAGGTAACGAATGGGCATAAGGATGTGGCTGAGGGGACCTTTGCCCTGGATCCATAATTGAATTTTGAAGGTAACGCACGTAAGCTGATATCGGCGACTCAGCTGTATTAGCCCAAGCATCGCCTGGGGGGAAAGGTGGCATCATGGTGGGTGGGGGTTGGCCATAATGAGGAAGTGGAGGCCTTGCAAAGTTGTTATTGTATGGAACCACAGGTGGAGGTTGTGCAGGTGCTGCCAGTGGTGCGGGATGCTGCATGGGCATGGGAGGTCGATTTATTGAACTCAAAGGTGGTGGTCTAATCTTCTGCAATCGCATACTGGCTGGCTTGGGGGGATTTTGAGGTGGCCTAGGTGCAGGCGCTTCTTGGTGATGTGAGGGTGAACCAGTAAGTTGCTGCACTATGTTACGGAAATCATTCTTGTTGATGTTATAAACCTGAGGCTGAGGTTGCTGCCTAGCAGGACTAGCAAAATTAGGTTGATGTATAGGACTCTTCTTTATATTCTTGCCCAACTTGTTCACACCTAAATGATCAGGGTGCCTAGTCATCTGCCTGTTTGAATTATCCATTTCAGCAACTTCACCTGATCGATCAACTGACTTATAAAACTAAACTATAAGGGCAGAATCTCAAGCGTCTTTTCCCCTCCAGCAAAATCCAGACGCATTAGGTTGTTCACAGCATCAAATGGATACTTGATATAAAACATGAAACGGATATATTGCTGCCCTCCCAAGTGTTAGCAAAATAAATATGCTGCTTCCCCTCCTGTGGGAACTTACTTCCCTTCAAAACCCAACAAAATCCAAAATTTCAAACAGCTGTATGTCTTTAACCTCAACTACTAAATGCACCGAAAAACAGATCAAATCAGGCTCAATTTTACCAAATTTGACCAGTTACTTGGAACATTAACCAGGAAAGTGGCATAAACATGCGCAAAAAGTGATCTGTGATCCAGAGCAACAACGAAACTATTGACTACCCCAAACAAGCTCGAAACCAAAATCAAAAATTTTTCTTTTCCAATTGATTAGGAGCACAAATACTCAAGATAATCGGTTCCTTAGTGATTCAAAAAGCCCAAATTCATTCACGCCTCAATCAATTAAATCCACCTTTTTTCTATCTAATCCTTCCAACTTGAGACAAAACAATGATGCTAATCAAAAGGGGGAAAAGCATAAAAATGATAAGGAGAAAGAAACAATTACTAGAGGTTCACAGTGAAATGCCCCATCTGAGAGAATTGACTTAGAAGGTGGATTCAATGCTTCCAGCTCCCCTCCATCCTTCTTCCATCCTATTCCGCCCCACTTCTTGTTCTTCAATCTTTCACAAAATTCCGAGACCCTATTCCGGTAGCTGAATCAAGAACGCTGACAAACCAAAAAACTGGAAGCAAAACCAGAGAAACCCTAAAAAGCTGCAGAAGGGACGCGGGGGCGTTGGTCGTTGGTCAAATGTCTGCTCTCCCTGGTTCTAAATTTTAGTATTCTTCAGGTTTTACTTTTTGCTTATAAAGTTTCACCTTTTTCGTCATCAGTATATATGATATATACCTACAATATATAACTGAAGAGTTAGACCGGCTATGGGCCTGTTTATCCCCGGTGGCCGGTCACTCCCCCCAGACCCGGTTATGGTATTAGAAGTAGTAGCCGTCCCACATCTTTTCCTACCACCGCCACCGCCGATGCTTTTCTCGGCCGCAGCTCCACCCACTTCTTCCTCCGGAGGAGCTGGAATTTGATCCCGGTCCAACCCTCTTGCCTTTATTTTCGTCATCGCCGCCGTTCGAAGAAGATATGGGTTAGTAATTTTAGATGCTTGTTGTTGTGTTGTTCTTTCAATTCACTGTCTTTGCTAAAACTGAATTTTGGTTTACCAGGTTAATTTTAACTCATTGAATTCGGAACCCTCAAACTTTTTAAGAATTAGAATGGATATCTTAGGCGGTTATCATTCTCAGACCTCGACTTAAAAAACTTGATAATTTGGTTCTGTGTTGCACACTAAGTGTTTGAATCTTTTTCTTAAAGAATCTACCTCAGCTCATTCAAGAGAACTGTATGATCTTCCTTTTTGGTATAAGTGTGTTCTCTGAATTACAAATGTAGCCATCTACATTCTTTTTGGTGGAGGGCTTTTTTGTTGCCGAAGTTATGTTACATAAAACCAAGTAGTTGGCAATCTCTGTGGAGATGAAACATGTGAACAGTTTTTTTGCAACTTTACACATCCACATCGTTTTCCATTTTTTTTTTTTAATGCTCATCTTAATCTACTCGATAATGTTCTATATTTACTTGTATTTGTTAATAATACGTAAAGAAGAAAGACAAGAAGTAGGTTTCGATTTCAGCAAATTGCTGAAATCAACAGCTCATGCTCGGCGATGCAGAGATTTACCAAATGAAAAGGAAGAATTTTGATTTGTCTTTACTTATCTTCTCAAGAATGCTAGGAAGATCTCAAAGAAAAAAAAAAGAAATGTTGTGGTCATAGTCATTCTTGCATGATGCAATTTGCAATCGTCAACTTGCTATTAAATTCCTAATTTTTAGCTTTAATTGGCAGCTCTAATGGATTCAGCTGTATATTTCTGTAACCTATGCTCCCATTGAAGTAGAGCCTCTGGGTACTTAACTTCGCGTATTTTAAATAAGTGTACTCTTTGGCTTGCATATAAAGTAGAACCTATGGATTTTTATCTCCTATATCTTCTTCGTGGTTTTAGATTTTGGTCTTGAAGCAAATCCGTGGTTCTAAATTTCGCAACTTTTGCCAATATATACATTACAATTTCATTGTCACAACATATAAGTGTACAAGTTTGTAACTTATTACTTCTCTTTAGATTTTGTTGGTCAGGATTGGACTACTATTGACCCTGCAGTTAAAGAGTTTTTTTTCTCATTAGTTGGTCAGGATTGGACTACTATTGACACTGCACTTAAAGAGTTTTATTCTCATTATTTCTCATCATTTTCCTCTGCATTTTATATGCTAAGAATGTCTTTGCCTGTTTTATCTTCTTGGTTCATCACATGTTATAGTTTTATGGAAGTTAAACTGTTTGCATTTCAGGATTGGTCGCGGTTTCATTTTGTTAGGTCTATTGTTGTGCATCCTGTTGGTTACTTACAAGTAAGTTCAGCTGGTTTACAACCAATAAGGTACTTTCATCCTGTTGTTTTTTTTTGGTTTTTTTTTTTTTTGAGAAGCATCTTGTTGGTTACTTGCATGTATTAAGTATTTTGTTAGTTTTATTTTCAATTTATATTTTATTCAGCAAATTAGTTCAATATTTCGTAAGAACTTCGAAAAATTGAGTATTTTTTTAAAAGGTTTTCGTTTGCCCATGGAGGGCCGTAATTTCAGTAAAGAATCAAATTTGATTTTGGCTGCATTTTAGTTACTCTGTTTCTCATTATTTTAACTATCACTTGGCTGCATTTTCATAAACAATTACATAATTTCTCTTGTCCTTCTGTTTTTTTTTTTTCATATTTTGCTTACGACGTTGTTAATACCATGTTAATTAACGATGCAGGTCAGCCTAAGATGTAAGATCATTCATCATAATAGCAAGGTAGCTAATATACTTCTTGATTTCAATTTTGAGGCAAAGGCATGTTCACTTGATTGAAGTTATATTTAGCTTATACTTACATGTAAATTTTCGGGAGTTAAACATATCACCAATCTTAATCTTTACTGAGTGATGGTGGTTCACTTTTCAGGTTGCTGATTTTGGATTAGCGAAGTTCACGTCTGATGTCAAGACTCATGTCTCACCACTCGAATGATGCGAACTCTTGGGTAAGATTAATCTGTTTCTCTCCTCTATCTGCATCACTGAAGGAAAAGTTTACTCAATTTTCTGTTTTGGGGGTTTTTGAATGCATGTATAGGAAACTAATGAAACGGTGAAAGTGATAAAATGGTCCATCAGAGAATTTAGCCCATTCCGATTTCTTTTTAAATGATAAAGAATTATCGTTCTTCCTTTTACTTCCTATATAGGCTAACGATCCTGTCGTCCTGGTCTATTCTTAATAATGTTCGTATCTTACCACTAAATGTAGGTATCTGGCTCCTGAATCTGCTGCTTCTGGAAAACTTACTGATAATTCAGATGTTTTCTCCTTTAGAGTTGTGCTTATGGAGTTGATTACAGGACAGTGACCTGTTGACCCAACAGCCATGGATGACTATTTGGTTAACTGGGTGAGTTTCACTTAAATGTCACCTGGGATTTTCCCCTTCAGTTAGTGTCTTAATGTCCTCCTGTATTCAGTATCTATGTACTCAGACAGAAATATTAACTAACTGAAATGGTACAAAACAGGCAAGGCCGTTGCTAAGAAGAGCTCTAGATGAAGAAAATTTTGTTGATCTTGTCGATCCTCGGTTGCATCATGAGTATGACAGCAGAGAAATGGCTCGAGTAGTTGCATGTCTGCTATTTGTGGGCGCCATTCAGCAAGTCATTGACCTAGAATGAGGCAGGTACTTGTCTATCCTTATTATTGGCTTAATATCCTAGGAACTAGTGATTACCGTAACAAACTTTTCAGTGAAACGTGTTGCATATCAAGTTGACAAAGATTACAGGAAAGTAAAATAATTAGACTGATAAGCTTACAGGAGTTTAAGTTGTCAGTTAAATATTCCCAGTAGTTTACTAGAGAATCTTGTAATGTTCCACATCAGCTCTCTTTTGTTAGGTCATCCAATTGACTTACAACGCATTAACTTCATAGCAGGAAAAATGTGAAGAAGGTGTTTCATCGAATGCTTCAGAGAGATGTAAAATACATTAGAAAGATGTCACCGATACTATTACTTACGGTTACCTGGTGGAGTGGCACTTCAGTAACTATAGTTTTTCTGGACGCTAATGGTCCTACAGTTCTCACTCTCTTGCTTGCTCACTCGCCATCCAAAATGTGAAGGAATCCAGCATTCAGGAGAGATTGGAAGGAAAGTGCTGAAAGTTGCTTGCTGAGGGAAGTAATCAAATGACAGCACGTTTCTTTTAGACGCCCTTCTTAGGTACACAATCAGGCTTCTTTAACATCAAAGAAGAAATGGCCATTACCAATCATTGTACTTGTGTTCACTGTGACCGATGTTTCTACATTTATTTTTTCTATACCTTTGTTACTCTCTCCATTCCAAAATAAGTGTCATCCTACACTTTGCACATAGTTTAAGAAACTCTTTCGAGGGTAATTTTGAAAATTTTGGACAAAAAATGCATTGAAATGTAAGAACGACACTTATTTTGAAATTTCTCCATTTTGCTAAAACGACACTTATTTTGGAACGGAAGGAGTATATTTTTTAGGTTAAAAAATTTCATCATTCGAAAGAACAAACAAAGACACATTCCTTGGAATCAGCAAGACTTCTGACAATATTTGCTTGAATTTAAAATATGTAACATGATTTTACAACTAAAGGCGGTCTCTCATCACTGGACTTTGTCTTAGTTATATACATAGATAGACTAGATTTTTTCTCTTGTGTTGTACAAAATATGTTAAAATGCTGTATTAAATTGATACTTAATTATGTTGCGACTTAAATTTTATTTTCTCTGTGACAGTAAATTAATATTAGAGCCATTAAATTCGAATAGGAAAAAAAAAGTTATTCTGAGATTTTCTATAATTTTTCCCATAAAATTTCAAAAAGAATTTTCAAAAAGAAGGAAAAAAGGGGAAAAAAAATTAATAAATGCTTCCATTTTTTTAAAGACTTTTTTTTATTATTATTTTTGCAAGAGGGAGAGACAGCAAAAGAAACTGAGTTTGTATCCAGTATATCCGGGGCACTGTGTACTCCTTCCTATTTTTTTTGCATTTCTAGTCTTTATTGTACTTGTTTACCAATCTTTCTATATTTTGCAAGTTTAGTCCCTGTCATTTTTTCTCTCTCTTCAAAAAACATCTCTAATCTTTCAACGAGCATATCTCTCAATCCGTGAACAATTTGTGAACGAATTACATATGAAATTTATAGTACTCGTCGAGAACTATCCAACACGATCCATAGTGAATATTTTTCCAGGCTTAAAAATGACTTAATTCTGATGGAAAGAATAAAGGTGGATATCCAGTTTTACGAGATGGATAACCTAACTTGTTCTAAATTGGTTATCCGTTGTGTTCATGCTGATTATCCAATCAGTTTGAACTGATTATCTATTTTTTTGTACTGCTTATCCATTTAATTTGTATGTCTATCCAACTTGTTTGTGATGGATATCCCACTTGTTTGAAATGGATATCCAACTCGTTTGTACTGGATATCCATCCATTTTGGTTTATATGATTATCCAACTTGTTTTGTAGTTGTAATCCAACGAGTTTGTATGCATATCCAATTTGTTTGTGCTGGATATCCAAATCGCTTATACTGGATATCCATCCACTTCATATTGATTATCCAACTTCTTAATTCAAAATAAGTTGGTTATCCATCTTCTTAAACTGGATATCCAATGTGTTCATATTGATTATCCAATTTCTTTGTGGTGGTTATCCATAATTTTTTCCTTGCTCTTTTACAAAAATGATTGTCAAACTTTTTTTTACTGATTATTCAACGTGTTGCACTGATTATCCAATTATTTTCTATTGATTATCCAAATTGTTTGCAATGCTTATCCAATCATTTTTCTTTCTTTCTTCTTTTTTTTTTTTGAAGAGTGAATGTCAAAAATATAATTGGATAACAAGTACAAACAGAATGGATAATCAGTCCAAACAGGTTGGATAATCAGTAGGAACACAACGGATAACCATTTTTCAAAGAAAAACGATAAACACATTTCTTCATTTCTGCCCGTAAAATTTAAATGCATTTAAAATTGAAAAAAATATTCAACATGGATCTTACTGGATAGACTTCATCGAGCACTATAAATTTCATGTATAATTCGTATTCTAATTCTTTACGAATCCAGAGATATATGCAATACAAGAATTTTAATCTAAACTAAACTGGTTATCCATCTTTCTAAACTAGATATCCATCTTATTCTGACCATTGAAATTTAGTCATTTTTAAACTCGAAAAAAATATTCAACATAGATCTTGTTGGATAGATCTCGACGAGTTCTATAATTTTCATGTATAACACGTTTTCTAATTTTTTACGGATCATGAGATATAGTCGTTTAAAGATTAGAGATGTTTTTTAAAGGAGAGAAAAAAAAAATCAAAGGGACTAAATATGTAAATTATAGGATGTTATTTAGAAAAGTAGAAAAAAGTGTAGTAAGAACTAGTAGTGTACTCCCTCCATTCCAAAATAAGTGTGGTTTTAGCAAAATGGAGAAATTCCAAAATAAGTGTCGTTCTCACATTTCAATGCAATTTTTGTCAAAAGTTTTCAAAATTACCCTCAAAAGAGTTGATGCTATTGGTGGACAATTTTATAACGAGGTTGGTTGAGGATATACAAAAATTTTTACTATCCTATTTAAAAGTTTCTTAAATTATGTGCAAAGTGTAGGACGACACTTATTTTGGAATGGAGAGAGTAAAAAATAGGAGGGGGAGTATGGTGCCCCGGGTATACTGGATAAATCTATATATACTATACTAAGGTAAAAACCAGAGAGAGAAATCTAAAGTCAAGGAGCACATGATCCTATGTGGCGTTTTCTTAATTTTCTAGATATAAAAATGCACAAAATAAAACAATAACAAAAAAAAAAAGAACAACTGAAAAAATTCAAACTCTATAGTGATTCGACCAAATCCCTACAAATCCGATAGACGGATCTCTTCCTCCTAAAAAAAAACGCAACTGAAAAAGAATTTTATATTAATAATTTATTAAAATAATTAAAGCGGTTAGACCAACCTGAAACTTCTATAATTTAACTTTAATATGGAATTGAGTTAAAATACTATGGTGATGGGTTAATGCAGCGGGGCTAAGAATGGCTCTGACAAAGAATAAAAATATTAAAAGTCTTCAATTATGTCTATTCTTTCTTCTTCTTTTTTAATGTTTTGAAATCCAAATTTTTAGAAAAAGGTCCTGATATCCAACCTTTTTTTTTTTATTTTTCTTATTAAAACATTGGATGGCCTCTACAACAGGTTAGGGTTGTTGTTTCTGTAGTAACCAATCCTTATCATAAACCTTTTCAAAAAAAAAAAAAATTCCTTATCATAATCTCTTAACCACCCTAACCAACCTTTCCATCCCAGACTACCAATGTAGTCTACCAAGAAATATTGTAAAATATATAATTATTTAATTCAAAATTCATATCTTACTATATTAGAAACAAAAACCACACTTAAGTTAAAGAACCGCCATTTGCCATATGGCATTTCCACATCATATTTTTAAAATAAATTTTTATTTACACATTAGTTTCCTAGACTTAAAAGGCAAATGCAGTCCAAATCCACCACCACCTCCTATTTTCGCCAAAAAAAAAAAACACGACTTCATAAAAAACACAAATCCTCATCTCCATATCCACGACAATCGACTCCCTAATCAATCCTTTCTCCACAATAAAAAAAAAAAAACAAATTTCTCATCAATTATTAATTGAGAATACATGGTGAAATATACTTCTTTCCTATTAGCATGTTCAATCTTTTCATTAGTGATGATCAACTACATCCTAATCAGATAAAATTTCGACTTCAAAAAATATTCTCTTTACCTCTTTATATAAACACAAAGGAAAAAAAAATTCTCATTGATGTTGCTTTCGACCGTTGTGGTGGTGCCGTTACAGATATTAAAATTTAAATGATTTTATATCCACAGATCATTTGTACGGCTTTTATTATTTTTTGTTTTTCCCGTTCAAGAATAGTGTTATTTATATTATTTTTATGCGTCCATCCGTTACAGCTACTGTAGCCGTTGCCAGGTAATATGATGTGATTTCTTATATGGTTAGTCAGCTTAGAATTTTTGTATGATTTTAGTTCTGTTTGAATTGAATTGGTCAATTGGATTTTTGTCACAAAGTGTGGTTTTTTTAATTTCTTTTTTTATGTTTTATTCATTTAGAGTGGTTTTCCTTTTTTTAATTATGGAGTCTCAGTTTTTTTTCGTATATGCTCAGTTATGAATTGTGTTTTTTCTTTTTTTAATTGCTTTTGATTTTGTTTCATACTCCCAGTTGACCAATTATTATTATTATTATTATTATTATTATTATTATTTTTGCAAATGCAGCGCGTTTTTTTTTGTGTTCGGACTTTCAAGATTATACTTTTTTGGATTTGGTTTTCGAACTTTTTTAAATTAATCATCATATAAATAGTTCAGGTCGCTTCTTCTAACTAATTTATGGGGAAGCTTTTTATGAATTTGAGGTGGAAAGGGAAGGAATGATGTTTCTACGTTTATTTGTGTTTTTATAAATCATTTTTACCTACAGGGAAAATTTTTTTTTCATAATTTTTAATGGACTGTTTTACTTATTTTTTTTTATTTGCCATGCTGAGCTGAGTTCTTTTTTAATATAACTTGAAATCTATGCAAATTTATATTAAATTTCATTCTCATATTTGTAATCAACCAGTTTCAACAATTAATCAGTTTTAAAATCGTATTTTTGATATTTTACTAGCTATAAGCTTTTGGAAGAAACAGTTTCAACAATTAAACGTATACCCTTCGGAGGAAGCTTACTACAAATCTATTATAAATATCCAAAACCAAGTATTAATTTGGTACGACAAATGGAGAACATCAATAAATAATATTACTAATATTTAAACTTATTATGATACTTTTATATTTTGTCTAACATTTACTCCAAGAGATATACTTGATCAAGTTTATTTATATTTAATAAGTAATAGTTATAAAACATTTCTAAAATATTCAAACATTTATAAAACGTACCGAACCAAATACACTTTTTTTTCTTGCCAAATACAAACACTTCTATGATCACACTTATAAAACATTTCTAAATTCATCAAACATTTCTAATATCGGGCCAAATGCAAAATATTTTTTTTTCAAGTACAAACATTTCTAAAATCTACAGATATACTGGGTCAAGGTTACGCATTGCGCGACCAGATATCACTAGTTTATGTATATGTGCTCCCCGTCCATCGGACGGGTCTAACACCTAGTTGTCTGTAATGTAAAACTAGAACTAGTAGTAGTAGTCTGCTACTAGAACCTTCAACCAGTCAATCAACACCCATAATTCCTTTTTTTTTTTTTTTCCATTTTTTATTTTTATTTTTTACAGTGACAGACGAACGGTTATCAATATCATCATCTTTCAGAATTCAGAGTTTCAACTCTATCAATCAGTAGTAGCAGCAGCAGCTCCGCGCCTATAATGCCAACAATTTAATCCCCCAACATATTTTGATCTTTCAATTCTTCTGGCAATTCTTTGTTTACATGCTTCTTTGCCGGTGTTCCTCCACCCTAAAACCCTAGCTGCGACAGATTTCGGAAGGGTTTTCCTCTTTTTTCCCCGATCGAGAACCGCGCGGGAAATGGCGGTAACCGAGGAGGAAGATTCGGTGCCTTCGTCGCCGTCTTCTTCCTCGTCGTCCTCTTGGCCGGTGAGTGGCAGGAGGTTCGGATTCGACTCCTCCGCCTCCCCTTCCTACTCATCCTACCTTTCCAAGACTGTTCTCCGCAGCAGCGTCGTTCTTCACCTCCTCCGTGGCCATATCCGTTCTCCTTCCTCCAACGACGTCGTCCTCGGCAAGGTCTTCCCCCGCTTATCTTTTCTCTACTCTTACTTACTTACAACCTTCATGTAGTAGTGTTCCTAATTTTCTTTACATTTGAATTTCTGCTGTTATTGGAATTATATATACCTCGATTGATTAAACACGGTGCCCATGCCCTCTTGTATTATCACCAAGAAATAACAAAGAGAAATGCGGTAATTTATATTAGAGTCTGCTACTTGCTTCAGGAAACCTCCATAGAGTTGGTGATTATCGATGAAGATGGAACAATGCAATCTGTTTGTGAGCAACCTGTTTTTGGCACCATTAAAGACATGGCTATTCTCCCTTGGAATGATCGGTTCCAGGCACGGAGCCCTAAGGTATTTATTCCTCTTAGGGAATCTTTTCCGCTTTTCAGCTAAGTTCTCATTTTTGGCCAAATTTTTCCTTCTCTGCAGATCACTGGGAAAGACATTCTAATTGTTGTTTCGGATTCTGGGAAGTTGTCCTTTCTTACTTTTAGCAGTGAAATGCACAGGTGTTTGTTGTGTTTTAAACCATTCAAGCCATTATTCCTGTATTACTTTGGCATTGGTTTCTGCTATCTCTTCCACTTAAGGCTTCGTTGTAATTCTTAACCTTAACCGCGTACAGGTTTCTTCCTCTGACACACATAGAACTGGGACTCACCGGAAACTCGAGGGATCAAATAGGAAGGAAGCTGGCAGTTGATTCCAAGTAAATTTCTTACTTGGTTAGGAACTGATCAACACCTAACTCTGCGACCTTGTAATGCATTTTATTCTTATTATTTATTTTTATCTGTTCTTTTGATCTTTTTTTCCTCTTACTCCTTGCAGTGGCTGCTTCATTGCCGCTAGTGCTTATGAAGACAAATTGGCCCTTTTGTCGGTGTCCACTTCTGGCAGTGAAATGATCGATAAGGTGGGTATCCAACTTGTTTTATTTTAGAAGGCATGAGTTAATTGAATGTACTCGTGGACCTTTCAAAGTTATGTACACGTGACAATATTGGTTTTTTTTTTTTTTTTTTTGTTTTTTTGCAGAAAATCCTTTTGCCTCTCGAGAATGAAAGAAAAGAGAAACATCCAAATATTTCTGGTACCATATGGAGCATGTGTTTTATTTCCCAAGATCTCCGCCAACATAATAAGGATTGCAACCCTATACTAGCAGTTATTCTGAATAGGTATGTGTCAGAGTTCATTTAAGAATGAAATGAAATTATGGTTTCATTTGCACAGTTCTTGTGCTCTATAAGTAACTTGCACCTTTAGTTTTAGTTTGTTTTGTTTGTTTTCATCCATTTATCAACTTGTTAAACATGATCTGTTAATTAAAGTGTGTAAATATTGGTTGATTACAATCTTTTTTTTTTCTTTTTCTTTCTTTCCCATTGCTTCTGCAGGAGATTGTCGCTATATCGCAACGAGCTTCTTTTGTTAAAATGGAACCTTAGGGAACACACTGTGGAAACAATATTCCGTTATGATGAGGCTGGACCTCTGGCACACCATATAGTTGAAGTCCCGTATTCCTTTGGGTTTGCTTTTCTTTTCAGGGGAGGTGATGCAATCTTAATGGATTTTAGGGATGCTCAAAATCCTATTGTTGTCTATAGAACTAGTTTAGATTTTACACCATCTTCAGAAGAGGAGCAAAATTATATGGACGAAACTGGTACAATTAGAATACCGGATATTATTGATGAAGATGGAATGTACAGTGTTGCGGCTTCTGCATTACTGGAGCTGAGTGACCGGCATGACAGTGATCCCATGGCAATCGATGCTGAAAACTGTGTGAAACCGGGTCCCAACTATGTTTGCTCCTGGAGCTGGGAGCCAAGGAATGTAGACGGCATTTCTAGGATGATATTCAGTGCAGATTCAGGCGACCTTTTTCTGTTCGAAATCTCATTCGAATCTGATGTTGTGAAAGTAAACATGTCGGATAGTCTTTACAAAGGTTTGCCATCAAATGCCTTATTGTGGGTTGAAGGTGGGTTTGTGGCCGTCATTGTGGAGATGGGTGATGGCATGGTTTTAAAGCTAGAAGAAGGTCTACTTCGTTATCAAAGCCCAATTCAAAACATCGCTCCGATCTTAGACATGTCAATCGTTGATCACCAGGATGAGAAACACGACCAAATTTTTGCCTGTTGTGGGATGTCACCTGAGGGTTCTTTGCGGATTATACAGAGTGGTATCAGTATGGACAGATTGTTAAAAACCGCCCCAATCTATCAAGGAATAACTGGGACTTGGGCTATCAAGATGAAACGAAGTGATTCTTATCATTCTTTCTTGGTTTTATCATTTGTTGAAGAGACAAGGGTCCTCTCTGTAGGTGTAAGCTTTTCTGATGTGACCGATTCAGTAGGTTTCCAGCCCAATGTCTGCACATTGGCATGTGGTCTTGTGGCTGATGGCTTACTCGTGCAAATCCACCGCGATGCTGTTAGACTCTGTGTGCCCAATAGAATTTGTCATCCTGAAGCTATTTCGTTATCTTCTCCAAGTCATTTGGAGTGGTATCCAGAGAGTACTAGCATAAGTCTGGGTGCTGTTGGGCATAATTTTATTGTAGTGGCAACATCAAGTCCTTGCTTCTTGTTCATTCTTGGCATCAGGTCGTCTTCATCTGTTCACGGCTACGAAATATTTCAGATGCAGCAAGTAAGTCTGCAGAATGAGTTGTCATGCATCTCGATACCTGTAACAAATCTGGAGCATGAATCGTGGTTAGAATACGGAATTGATGGACTTCCTGCTGGTATGAAGATTGAGAATATGATTATTGTTGGCACTCACAAACCTTCGGTGGAGATTTTGTCATTCTGCCCTGAATTGGGTCTGCAAAATCTCGTAATTGGTGCAATTGCTCTGACAAACAGTTCTGGGACAATCATTAGCGGATGTGTCCCTCAAGATGTAAGGCTTGTGTTAGTTGGTCGGCCTTATCTTCTTTCTGGATTGAGGAATGGGATGGTCCTTAGATTTGAATGGCCTCCTCCGATTCCAGTAGCAGAGCCAGATATTATGACTTCATCCTTTGGTATTTCAGCTTTAGCTACTGTTCCATCTCCAACTTACAGAAGTTCTTCGGTCTCATCTTTGTCGAATTTATGGGAGGACAAAAATAGGCGGCCGCTTCAACTTCAACTAATCGCTGTTCGTCGCATTGGCATTACTCCTGCTTTTCTAGTTCCGCTGAATGATTCCCTTCATGCTGACATAATTGCTTTGAGTGACCGACCTTGGTTATTGCACTCTGCAAGACATAGCCTCTCATTCACATCCATCTCTTTTGAACCTCCTACACATGCCACTGCCGTGCGTTCTGTGGATTGCCCGAATGGGATTTTATTTGTTGCTGAAAGCAGTCTTCATTTGGTGAGCAATAGTTCATCCCTCTAATCTGTTACTCCTTTCCTATGTTTTTGGTCTTTAAAAACAGAGTCTCGTTTAAGAAGTTTAAAAGAATATAAACAATTGGTCTACTTTTTAATGAACTTTGATGAGGGTGTTTTAGTGATCAAAGATTGTATTTAATGTCATGAATAAATGGAGAATGAGATTATACTCTGGGACATGTTAGAACAGAGTGAGATTATACTCTGGGACATGTAAGAACAGAAAGTATCCTTGTTGAAATTTGGATGGAGGTGCCAAAAAAGGGAAATATCTGTACTTTGTAAGGCGTATGGATTATTAAGAGACTGTCTTGGATCTTTTTCTCTTAAAAATATTTTTGTGGGTGATGAGAGAGGAATTAATTGCAAAGACTTGGAAAGAAACTATCAAAGTTGACTTGAAATATTTAGTCTGAATGAAGATACGTGTGTTGATTGAGCACAATGCTGACATATGATCCATATAGCCGATGAGAAAAGGGGTTCTTGTTGGGAGAGGGAAGGTGGGGAAGGGAGGAGAGAGGGGGGATAAATAATTATATTGTCATATTCCAGACCTTGCATGCATGGATAAATAACTTTGTTATGCATCTTTCTTCTAGGTGGAAATGGTTCCAAGCAAGAGGCTTAACGTGCAGAAGTTTCATCTAGGAGGCACCCCTAGGAAGGTTTTGTATCACAGCGAAAGCCGATTACTGGTTATCCTGAGAACTGATTTGCAGAATGAATCGCATTCTTCTGATGTCTGTTGTGTAGATCCTCTAAGCGGATCAATAGTGGCGTCTTTTAAGTTTGATCCTGAGGAGACGGGTAAATGCATGGAACTGATGAAGGTTGGGCATGATCAAGTGTTGGTGGTGGGAACAAGCCAATCTTGTGGGCCTCCTATAATGCCCTGCGGTGAAGCTGAAAGGTATGTACTAAAATAGCTACTTACCCTTTGTTTGTTTTGCTACTTCGCTACCCACACCCCCACCCCCCGGGTCGTTTTGGCTATTATTTTACTCCCTACCCCATAATCATTGTAATAGTTCATGAAATTTCATGTCTTCCATTAAAGAGTCGGATGCTGCTTTTTTCTTTTTTGGTTTTTTCTTTTTTGTATGATAAATTCCTATTTATCCTCCACACTTCAACTTGTATGAGTTTAAGAAGGTTACTATTAAAATTTGAAGACATAAACAGCGGAAAAGATCTAAGCTGAAAAGAAAAAATACTATTCAGTTCTATTTATGGGTGCCCTTCGCAAGTTAAAAGTTGTGCATTGTCAGAACATGACTTCATGATGAAATGGAGGGATTTTCTTGTTGGCATCTTAAACTAAGAAAGTAGGGACATCTTCTTTCTACATGTGAAAATAACTCATTTGTCCACGAACAGTTTTAGAATTCAATTCACTTGTGATGATAGGATTGCATCATGATTCTGTGGATTTTGGCATTGATTTTGGACACGTGTTATATTTTGAACAGCTAATGCAAGCAAGAATCTATCTTTAACAGGACCAGCGGCCGTTTGATAGTCCTATGCCTTGATCATGTTACAAATTCTGATTCTGGTTCAACATCATTCAGTTCAAAGAGTTTGTCGTACTCTCAGCGAAGTTCACCATTTCGTGAAATTGGTAAATACTCTACCGAGCAGTTCTCTGGTGGTAGTATTTGTAGTAGTCCAGATGATAATAGTTGCGATGGTATTAAACTTGAAGAATCCGAAGCATGGCATTTGCGAGTAACTTGGTCAGCACCTTGGGGTGGAATGGTACTTGCTATCTGCACTTATCTTGATCGATACTTCCTGGCTTCTGCTGGTAATGCTGTAAGTTGCATAATCATTCTTCCTCTTTACGGTTTGTGTGTGACAAGTAAATGTGCCTCCTGGATCCTGGTTCTAAGGTTATAGATACGTTTTTCTTCTCTGCAGTTCTATGTTTGTAGTTTTCCTAATGATAACTCCCAAAGGGTGCGGCGTTTGGCAGTAGGAAGAACTCGCTTTGTGATAACAACCTTGACTTCATACTTCACAAGGATTGCTGTTGGTGACTGCCGTGACGGCATTCTCTTCTTTTCCTATCTTGAAGTAAGTAGTTGCTTCTTGGTTTTGTCTGCATCAGCTATCTTGATGTTGTTCTTCATTTATGATGTGGCTTGCTGCTTAAGTCTATTCCGTTTCATCCAAGTTACTGTCTGGTTTGTTGTTGTACTTCACGACTTAGAGCTTATATGGGCAGCAATATGTCTTAGTTTTTATTTTTATTTTTTTTAAAAAAATTGTATTGGAAATGTAATGTGTGGAAAAAGTATATTGATGATATGACACTTTTACGTTTAACATGTGTGTCCTGTGGGTTCTAAGTGAAAACAAATTTACTTTCTAACTGCTGGCCTTATAGGGCCTTAGGAAATAGAATATTGAGATATTTGCCTTTTAGGAAACTAACAGTTTCTTTCTTCAGTCAGTTGAGTTTACACAAATCCATATTGTGTAGTGTTTTTGTGGTAATCAGGTCGTTACCACATCTTTGGATAAGACAGTATGTTATATTCAATTAAATCTATAGGTGTACACATTGTATGCTTTGAACTTAATGCTAAAGCTACGCACTGTCATTGTTAGACACAATTACTTCCAAGCTGCAGAACAATGCATTTTTATACTTTTTTGTATGAATAAAGCAAGTCCAAAGTTGTTTTCCTGAGTTCTTAAGGAATTCAATGTACACGGTTGTTATGCCTACTTATTGCTCCAATGGTACTTCGACATCGGACTTCATGTTTCGCAGACCAAATTTATATAGAAATATGTTGTTAGGATTGGATGAGAATGAACTGGGGGTTGAATTTGAGTATGAAAAGCACAATTTTGAAATTTTGAATCATGATTTTGCACTTCTACAACTGAAATGTTCCTTATTTATCTTATTATTACTTGGAAGGAGGGGAAAAAACTTTTGCAAGTCCATTGTGATCCTTCCCATAGACTAGTAGCCGACTGCATTTTACTGGATGTTGATACAGCTGTTGTCACAGACCGGAAGGGGAGTATTACTGTCTTGTCCCGGCCAGAACATGCAGAGGGTAATATTAGGCTTTTCTTTTTTGTGCTTTGTCCTATAATCGTTGTAATTCATTTTGTTTATTGGCTTTGGGATTGTCATCTTTCAATAAAATTGCGAATTGCTGAGTTTATACTGCCTGCATCCTGCATTTTTATTTAGATGGTACATGTCCTTGAGATTTCAAATCCATCTTTTGTCCCCATAGCTGAGGGTTTACTCTTCTATTAATTTGCTTTCACATTTTAATTTCCAATAGTTGAGGCTTGTGAGATCTTATCATTTTTGTTGTCATTTTACTTGAGAAAAATATTGAGCAAAATAAACACAATCTAGATGTTATTAATTCAACTGAATCTGAAAATATTGGCTGTTTAATGGTTGTATATTTTCAACAGATGAAAAAAGAAATGATAATAATAACAAGAAAATTCGCCAACTACTTTGAAGGAGACTGAAGATTCTAATAATACTTCAAAATAGTTGTAGGCTTTAAATCACTTTTCGTAGTTGATTCAGATTTCAGTGAACTTGTCCTGTTTTGTTAACTCTCTATCATGTTACAGATAATCCTAGTCCAGAGAGCAATCTAGCATTGAGTTGTTCATATCATATGGGGGAAATTGCCATGAGCATCAAGAAGGTATTTCACAATCAAGTTAGCAGCTCTGAAGAACTGATCTCAAATTAAGTCCTTGTTGGGAAGTTGTCCTTATTAACTCTGCTTTAATCTGAAGGATTAGGTGATACTTATTACAATTAGGGAGTTTGCAATATCTAGCTGTTCAGGTTGAAGGCATTACTTGTGCTTAGCAAATTAACATGCCAATGTTAGGCCTGTATCGAAAGCTACTTCTTTTTTTGTTTTTAGTATAACAAATTTGGATGGAGTTTAGTTGCAAAATATTTAGAGTTACAATGTAAATGTTTTAAAAAGATGCGTTGGAATATGAGATGGTGGTTTTAAAATGAAAAGTGTATCCAAGGATTTGGGCATAGAAATTTTTTTGGGTTTGAGCTACAATCCATGTAGAAGGAAAAGGGAAGATTATTTTTCTGACATTTGCTAGAATCTGACAGAGTTGAATGCAGCAACACTATACTATGGTCTATGAAGATTCTGGACTTTGGCATTTTCATTGCTGTCCTGTTTAATAAAGGACTTGTATTTTATTTTTCAACCTTTTGGTATGAGCTGTTTTTGATCTACCATGCAGGGATCCTTTCCATATAAACTCCCAGGAGATGATGTCTCAAGGGGCTCTGCTTTAGCTAATGCTATTAGTGAACTATCTCATAATAGCATTATGGCCAGCACTTTGTTAGGGAGCATTGTGATCTTCATTCCTGTTTCAAGGTATGAATTGCTTGCGCTGTCTTCCATGCATTCAATTTCCAGCGAAACTTGAAAATACACTCTGTTCAGCTTCTGGATCAGTGATGTTCCAGGCGATACAGATGACTATCTTGATCTTGGTTGTGATTGCAATTAGTAATCATAGAAAAGCCGCAGCAAATCTTTTACAAAGTTTTTCTAGGCAGTTATTGTTATTCTTTTACTTTTTTTCTTGCTTGAAGGATTAGGTTAAAAAGCTGATTACTTTTCCGGGAGAGGGGATTAGATTTTGTGTGTTTGTGTTCCTCTTTTTTCTTTTTTGTTTGGGTTAAAGTTATCATGAGTTTGTCTCATCTGCAGGAAAGAGTATGAGCTCTTAGAAGCAGTGCAAGCTAGACTGGCCATTCATCCATTCACGGCTCCCATTTTGGGTAATGACCATAATCACTTCCGTGGCCGGGAGAGTTTGGTAAGAGAAGTACTTTATGTGATGATCCAATTTATATGACTATCCTTTAATATAAATGGATGTAGTTCATGTAGCTAGTTAAAATTGTTTGCACATTATAGGTGAAGCTGAATTTTTCACCCTAATACCCATAGTTAGATTTAAGATGAGATCTGTGAGGTGGACATTGCCCCTTAACTCGGTAATTTCCTTGCAAAATTTGTATGTCGCCTTGATGTATGGTTCACTTTTTGTCTGTCACCTTGAAGTTTGCTTCACTGTAAAAAAAAATTTGGCTATGATTTGGTGCCTGGCCCCTGTATGTGTATTCACAGATTTAATTTTCCGACTCTATTTTTCATGTCCGCTTCTGAAGTTTGTGTAAATGAAACAGGTTGGGACGAGGAAGATGCTCGATGGCGACATGCTAGCACAATTTTTGGAACTCACGAACATGCAACAAGAGGCCGTGCTTGCATTAACTCTGCCCTCCCATAATAAAGAAACCACCAGTTCAAAGCATTCTCGAGTCTCTGTCAATGAAGTTGTCCGACTCCTTGAGAGAGTTCACTACGCCCTAAATTGATCCTCGACGTGTACTAGCACCACTGTTTGCGATCACAAGTACAGAACATTCTGGAAGCACGGTCAATGAAGTTTGTCTGATTACTGGATGGATTCACTTGCCTTAAATGTGTTCATCAACAATTACTGCCACCAGTGGTTTGAGATTCTTGTACCGGATGCAGACTCCTTGAAATTCCCTTTAGGTTTTACTAGTTTCCCCTAGTTGAAAATTAATTTTTCGCTGGGGGAGTCCATGCATATATTAGTTGTCTGTTTTTAGGTTTTTTCCCTCCTTTTTTTCTTAATTACATCTGAATAGATAAAATAGTTACATGTAAATTCTTTGATCAAACTGTAAATAGTTTTTTTTTTCAAAAAAAAATAAAAAATTCTAATTAGAGTTTATACCATTTTTACTCAAATTTTCCATGACTCAAGCTGAAGTAAGAATGTCATCTTTCAACAGCATTCCAATGGATTTCACGAGCCCTTTTCCATTTGCATTGGAAAATTGGCTTCCTTCACCAAAATGGGGGTGAAAAAAATTTGACGTAAAATGCTAAATAGAATGAGAAATGTACAATTTTTATTTTTATTTTATATTTTTAATGGCAGCGCATCATGTAGGGCAATACTGAATCAATAAACCTGGTAATGAATGCGACAAAACCACCAAGATGAGATCTGGTGTCAGCTAAAATGAAACACGGTTTCTAGTACGTTACGATGTGATATTGAATTAACATGTTCAGTAAAGGACACAATGGGTTTTTATAGTAGTTCTGATACGACAGAACAGAACTATGAAATTAACACTTCTTTTACAAGTATACATTAGACGAGTTCTTATCTGAAGTTTGAGACGAAAAAATGTAAAAACAGCTTAGTAGAGACGAAGCATCTGACTGTTATGATACCAGGAAATATGCAAGGGGTGATTTTAAAAGGTGTGCGCTCAACTTCCATAGCTCACTACTTCGCTACTTCTTTGGCAAAAGCACTAAGTGAACCAAAAACCAAATTCATGAAAAATGTTGGCAGTGTGAGCTGAAAATTTCTACAACTGATGAATGAAAAGTAGGCTATCTGATTAGTCTCCCAATTGACCACAGCAATTTCTATTCCACAACACTATACTGAAACATAATGACAAATCCACACAGGAATCAAACAGAAACTCTCCAGGACACCACGCTAGAGCATCATTAACAGAATCCTCGACCTAAGACTTCTCACTGAAGGAACTCTCGCGTTGGACTTCACATGGCAGGCTTCTACTGTCAGCACCGTACAGAGAAAGCATCGCCTCAAATCCCACGTGGATTTCAGGGCAACCCAGAAACCTTGGGGACGTCTTCAAACAGGCACGATATAAAACAATACTTCTTATTAGCTAAACTGGACTCCGATACTGAGGGCATGGCATTCGAGATTTCGCAAGTTCACCTGCACATGAGTCAATGAGAAAATTTTTAGAGCTGACAGATGTGCAAAGGCCATCTCATGTGTTACACATTTCAATTCAACCTATCAGAATCAAATTATTCTCTCACTTTTCACTGTAATGGAGCTAAATCTATGGCCAATTGAGATGAACAGCATATTAATGACAACAGAAACCACAGATTTGCTAATAAGGAAACACATACAAAAGCACGCAATTAAACGTCCCTGCATTGTTGAAAACATTTTTAGACGGGTTACTCATATGAACCATGCAAATTAAAGCACCAACGATGGTTTTCATTTTGTTATTTTCCGTTCAACAAGACTGTAATGGTATGGATCTAAAGGATAAACATTGGAAACCTTACCATAACAGCAACTCCAGTTTCACTAAATTTTGGGATGCAAATAAGTCTCACTACTTGTCCCTCAGCTCCTGGAATTTTGAGGCTTACCATCAACAGAAGTTTTTCAAACTCAATGTTCATGAGAAAGCAAGAACTTAAAAATAAGTACCATTTATTAAGCGAGTCTCGTATTTCTCCTGATTACCAATGAAGTAAACATGGGGACAAGTCTCAATGAGAAAAGGATCCCGGTCAGTGAAAGGATAGCACCCTGTAGATTAAACAACAGATTAAGTGCACATAGCGGCAGTTCAACAGGCCCATAAGCCATGTCCATGCATGTAGAATTGCTAATATTCTCGAACGATTCACCATCAAGTACAAAGTAGAAACCAAGAGGGAAAAAAAAAGAAAAAAAGACTCCAAAAAAGTTTGTCTTTCAACTACTTAATGTCCATAACCACTGTTAACACGCATATAAAGGCACAAACAGGAAAAGAATGAGTGAATTCAGGCATGAGCAATATTTAGCAAAACCATGCATGAGAACAGTCTAAAAGTAGCGCGTACCAAGCGTGTTTGGAGCTGTAGGGGCAAGATGTCTCCATCTTAACGTCCTCTCCAGAAAATCAAGTTTATCCTTTGCATCTGTATACTTCTCGAGATCATCAATGTTTTGACCTGATGTTCCAAGTAAACTGAAGTACAGAAACTTCATGAGTTGGATAATCAAAGCAGTCCAACTCTATAATATCATATACAATTCTTATTACCTCACTTCGTCAAGCTTGAACCAATGAGGATTAGCACAAGACCGGAAAGTGTTGTAAGCCGAAGAACCCGGGAAAAGACATCTATGCAATGGCTGAAAATAGACAAGAAGTGAGGAACAGAATAAAGCATAAATAGAAGTTGAATGAGTAGCATTCAGCAAGAAGTGGTTTCAATTCGTGGCTTATGAGTAGCCAAAATTATTCACATAACACATGAAGAACCAAACCTGTTGCGGCAATGCGAAATTTGCAGGATCATGCGGCCCTGGCATAATGTCCAATGGCACACCTGCAGCAATCTTCACAGAGCTTTCAAAGCAAGCAAAATAACAGGAACCACAATGCAGGTGATGATGTTAGGCAACTACCTGAGTCAACATCATATCCAGCTCTTCGATTGGATTTGACAACCTAGATTGGTCTGTAGAACCTAAATTCTGTATCAACAACAGAGGTAATCATCTCCAAAGGAAGCAAATTCAAATTTCAAGTAGATCATACAAGTAATGAATTGTGAGCTTCTCGAAAATACTAAAGTGTTATTTTTCTGAAAAAGAAGGAAGATCAATCAAATGCAAGGGAGACATCTTCACTTGCTGTCCGCCAAATGTTGATGAAGAATGTTACCTGACCATTAAGCAACCCACGGGGCAATTCAACACAATTTCCAGCAACAACCACTTGAACAATTTTAGCAGCAAAATTTTGTTCCTGTGGAATGTGAATTCGTAAGACTTCAGAAGACAATTTGAATTCTGAACGTATTTGAACTGATGAAATTTGGAGAAAGGAAAGTATCAAACCTTTTCATCTCCTAGATGACCAGTGATGTGATCAACCAAAAGCTGGAACAGCAGAGGGTTAGAAGAGCTTTTACCGATATCCAAGCCTGAAACTAGTACAACATATTTGTCTTCCCCTGCTTGCATCAACAGGAACTTCCTTAAGAAACTTTCAAGAATAAAGGAGGGCAAGAATCACACAATACATATAGACTAAAGGAGCAATGTGTGGCCCAACGACTTTAAATAAGTAGATCCATCCACAAAGTCTTAACTCATCATTGATGCTAACATTTCTCCGATAGTGTTAATTTCAGTTGCAAGTGTTATTACACATGCTAATAAGGAAACTGCCATATATTTACCTGTTTACGTCTTTCTTATTTTTCGGGAAAACATGATCATCTGATAGAAAGTCAACTCCCATTGTATAGCTACTTAAAATATCAGAAGCCTTTCCTAGTTAAGCAGCATTACCTAATTTCAATGGTCGCTCTATTTGTTCTGGTAGGCCTGCCTCAATGACTTCTTCCACCCAGAAGTCTCCTGCACCAGTTTCTTTCCCAAGCAATCCAATCACGATACCTATCAACAAACAAGTTATAGAACAACGTGATGAATTACAAATCGTCAGCTCTAGTTACCATTCAAAAGGTAGAAAAATAACAAAAGTAGTAAGGTAATCAAGTAAAAAGGGACGAATCAAAAAAATATTCTGACAGCCATAAACCAAGAAACACCAAAAGTAGCTGATAGTCAATATTACCTGTAACATATAGAGAAGGTAAAAGAGCATCTCCACGAAGTTTAACACGGCCACTCTCGTCTTCCAAAACTAAATAATCATCCGGATGCATAAAATTATGAGGTTTTGCCAATGGAGCGGCCGCCCTCTGACATTAACAAGTCAGATAATTAATAAGTGAAGAAAGATGATGACATAAATTTAAATTAAGAAACGGTAAAGCGTGATTCCATTCATCAATCAGTATGTTACCTCCTTCGAGTATTCCTCAAGTACAGAAGGTTTAAGTTTCATGTGTTTGTACAAAGTTCCAACAATGATGCATTGTTTGCCTTCCTCCAATCCCAGAACAGTGCAGACTACAACAGCATAGAATCCCAAGGAAGTAAATCTTGTGCGACTCAACTCATTGCAGCAGTCATTTACCCACAAACCCAAAAATCCGAAACCCTCTTAAAACAACAAGCTGAAGCATGATAGTATACAGAGATAATCACCCAGCACCAAGAATTATCTTTTGCCCCAAAAGAGAGAGAAGCCATAAACCCCTCCAAGGAACTAAAATCAAACATCCCCAGACCTAACATCTTATTGAAAACACATGATAGTCATCCTGAGATAATTTATTTAGGAAAAAGAAACAATTTTTACCCCCCAAAAACTGTAAATCCCATAAAACCCTACAAGGATTAAAAAAATAAGAAATTGTAGACTAGGAGATAGTAAATTACCGGGAACATTGGGTTTCAAATTGGGGAGCATAGAATAAAGAAGGGTTCTCATAAGGTGGAGCCTGGCAAAGTAGATTTGGCTGTACTGTTGCCCTTTATATGCCTCTTTGTCAATCTGAAATCGTTCATCCTGCAGCAAAGATTGAAAATTTTCCCCCAATAACATTACAAAAGGATAACAATTTGACCATCCAACAAAACTTAAGAAGATTATTAAAAACAGCCCAAAGAAGAGAAGAGGAACCCAGATTTTTTTTTTTACCATAGAAGTATAGGAGGATTGTGATCTTTCAATCCTGAAGCATTTCTCTGAGTCGATTTCCATACTTCCAGTGGCGGGAAAGTCAGTAACCACTGATGGATGGATGCACGCGAAGAGAAGTATATATATACGAGGGAAGACAGTCAAATTTAATAAACCTTAGCAAATTTAAGAGGCAATCAAAGGGGATGTAGCTCACATGGTAGAGCGCTCGCTTTGCATGCGAGAGGTACGGGGTTCGATACCCCGCATCTCCATAAATTCTACTTTGAAACACTTGGTGAATTTTTAAAGAAAAAAAAAATATTTTGTTCAAAGTTTTATTGCTTTCTTTTTTTTTTTTTGCCCTCCAATTTGTACATTTGAATGACAACACAACACTACTACATCACCGTTTCATATAAGCTATTTTTGGATTTGAATGACTACCTCAACATAATAATGTATACCACACTTGTCTAAGAATTTTTTATGTTGATTGACGAAAGAAAAAAATCGAGTAACAAAAATTACAAGAAGTTAATATCCACACAACCAATGTCATTGATAAATAACATAAATCTAAAAGTTATTTACAAATTTTTAGTGGTTTCATCAAATACCACTGTGAAGATGATGTGGAATCGATGCTATCCCCTAATGCAAACCACTAATTCGAAAATTCATGTCCATTAGAGTTTAAATACTATATACTAGTATCGACTGCCATTCTCCTCTCTACTAACACATGCCGCCGGTAATCTATGTTAACTATGTTATAGGCTGTCAACACAATACATGCACAACAACAAGACAATTTTCTTACTATGTGGAATCAATTATAAGAATCATGTGTCACCTTGTCGATCGGTAGACAATTTATCCTTCAAATTTCAATACTTCAATTCTCTTCTATAATTTGTTTCCAATTCTTTTTAGATCTACCCATACCATTCTTAATTCAATAGTTTCCCTCATAACTAGTTACTATTGGAAGAATAATTGATAATTTTTCAAAACATTGAGGACTGGTCCGGAGTGTAAACAAACTTGCGAGGACCATATTACAGAAGTTAGCGTTGACCGGACCGGACATCCCAAAAATAAAGAATTTCAAAGCTTCAGGCTATCGGAGTGGACTCAACTGATTGATTTCTTTTCAGTGATTCCATTTTGGCCTCCTTCAAACTAAACCAGCACTTTTCTGTCAGAATCTTGATAGTAATTTCATGGAGGGCCATTCCAGCTTCAGGACCCAACCTCAAAATCCGGCGTTTGGGTACCAGAAACTGGAATTGGAACCCCCGTCTCCGATTATTAACGGAGACTTCTCCTTCGCCAGCGGCACCGATCGCCGATATGCCTATTACTCCCGACAGCCTTCCTTTAATCACCATCAACCGGCTGGTGCAGAGCTCCCGCCCCATACCCCCATCTCCATCTTCAATGATAAAATTTATGATTATTCCGCCGACGGAGGCGGCGGCGGCGGCGGCGGCGGATTGTTGGATGATAACCACTTCTCTGCTGTTTCGTTTGTATCGTTGGTGATGAAGAGCGCCAGGTCCGGAAATAAGCAGATAAGGAAGCTGTTCGTGTTGATCTCGCTTAATGTGGCTTATTCTTCCGCTGAATTATTCATTGGACTTCTCTCCGGCCGAGTTGGTACGTACCCGGTTCCCCAATTACTTTATATAGTAAAGTTGGGATTTTTGTTTCTATCTGTTGCCGTTAATTTGTGGGTCTCGATTAGTTTTAGTGTTTTTCCATGGATGATGTTGATGGTGGATGTGTATGCTAGAACTCTAGCAATCTGATAGTTTCTGTGTTGGATAAAATAGTTACATGCATTATGAAAGAGAAATCACTCTGCAAAATGACACTATGAAAACACTCACTGCTATGGAAGAGAGTATTGAGCTTCACTGCTGCCCATGTGATTATTGTGGCACTGGCAATGTATGTCCTAAGATACTTATAATGAGGTGTTGTTCTAGGTTTTATATCTGTTTGGCTATCCTGATCTTGTTACTCAATGTTGAAAACTGAAATAAAGTTGATATTTTTTCGGAGGCAAAAAGGTTCAACAGGATGTAATCACCTACGTTGTTGGGTTGCCATGAACTGAATTGGATTGAGATTTTTTTTTTAAATCTCGCTTTATCTCCATTGGATGATAGGTTTGGTATCGGATGCTTTTCACTTGACATTTGGTTGTGGGCTGCTGACCTTCTCGTTATTTGCGATGGCGACTTCTCGTACAAAGCCTGACCGATCCTATACATACGGGTAAAGATTATGGAATCTTGTTCAGTATAATTATAGCTTCTTGCCTTTTCGGAATATCTCTGTTGTGTTCTTGTTTCTTGATTATCTGCACCTGGATAAAATGATATCTATTATTCTTTATTAATATCCTAGTTATGTGATTTTTTAATGCTTCTTGTAAATTTAGAAATTTGTTAGGAATGTTAATGAATCAGGTTTTTTCTCTTTCTGCAGGTATAAAAGGCTTGAGATTTTGGCGGCTTTCACAAACGCTGTAAGTATCAGACGCTGGTTAATGACTGGATGCACTTTCTATTACCTGTCAAACATGTTTCGAGGAAAGCTACTCTTTGTAATGCTAAAGAACATGCACCTTTCTGATATATACAGAACAGAATCATTGTTGAGTATCTACTTTCCGGTGAAGCTAGTTTGAAACGCTTTTTCCTTTTAAGCTTTGATTATTGAAGGTACCTACTGTATAGGCATAAGTTTAATGTCTTTTAGCAAAATGAACATGTGAGTGTTTTCCACGAGAAGGCTAAAAGTCAGGTGGCACTGAAAACGAATTTATGTTTATTTTGACCAAATACGTAAATAAAAGTTCTGCCTTTCCCTTTTTCCTTTTTATACTAAGACTAATTTCTAAAAGATCTGTTTTTAAGCCAATAATTCTAACGTGGTATCTTTTTAGGGACTGTTACTCATAAATGTCATTGTCTAGTAATGATGATTGATGAAAGCTCTAGGATGCAAAGACGGTGCCACTAGTTTTTAGACTTTTAGTTTGGTAGCTCAACCGTCCATCCTTCTGTAACCGGTTTTCTTTCTTGGTGGTTTGTTAGTTTAACCACTTTTTTTCATTGATCTGAGTTTAAAAATAGTTTTCTTTTTATTTGGCTTTTCCTTGGAATGTTCTTTGTTTGCATGTTTAATGTGTCTGTTCATGTTTTGCAATTTGATATTCTCTTCTGCTAGTATGGATTGAATGACTATATTCTCTCTGTCCTCCTGCTCTAGACAGCTGTTTCTTTTGTTTTTGTCATTCTCGTTGGCGGTTGAAGCGCTTCATGCTTTTATACAAGATGAATCTGAGCACAAGTAAGTTGACATTCTCAATCAATAATGTAACTGATCCTTCCGGGTTTGTAATACTTGCAACTGGGGGCCATTGGTGCAATGTTTTTGGTTTACATGGTGAGGGTTGGAAATTTTTGTGTGTGTGCATCAATATTGTTTCTACGAGACAGAGCCCAACACTTCTTTATGAGTATTTATATTTGTTTTACCTCCCAAATGAATTAGTTGTTTTCGTCTCCATGGCTATAAATGTGTCATCATCGGTATAATTTCATGTCGTGTAACAAATTGCGACTCCTATTACTAGTACGTCATGCTCTTATATGTTATATATCAAACCTAATCTCTTGATGGCTTTACTTCTAGGCATTACTTGATAGTCTCAGCCGTGACAAATTTGTTGGTGAATCTGATCGGTGTCTGGTTCTTCAGCAATTATGCTCGAATTAATCTCGGTCTGTCTCTTGTTCCCTTGAGTGTTATCTTGTTTCTATTATATTGGGAATGGATATGTTATGTGCTATCCTGGTAGTCTTATGTGGAAAAACATAATTGCAGTATACAGAAATGCTGAAGATATGAATTATCACTCAGTTTGCCTTCATGTGCTTGCGGATTCTATTCGTAGGTATGAGCTCACATACTTCCAATAATTTTTCATTCATGAATACGTAGATGTACACATTTCCACCAAATGTCCAAGTTCATCGCTTATTAACTCTTCTTCATTTGCCTGGAGAATCACTTTTACAGTGCAGGTTTAATCTTGGCATCCTGGTTGCTAGCTCTGGGGTAAATTATTTGCTTTTTTCCTTTGATACCAATGTGTTTTCCCTGATACGTCATGATTTTTCGCTCTTTAATCTGTTGGTGGAATGTTTACCCAGGGTAAAGAATGCCGAAGTTTTATGTCTAGGGCTTGTTTCAGTTACTGTGTTTATGCTAGTCATGCCACTTTTTAAAGCCACTGGTAGCATCTTGCTCCAAATGACACCTCCCAGTATTTCACCATCAGCCTTCAGCAAATCCTTGAGACAGGTGATTATTTCATCTATGCTGTTATCCTCTATCCAATTTTATCCACCACGTGTAGCATGCAATGAACGACTAATTATTGCTTATTTATCTTCCTTGTAGATGGCTGCTCTTGAAAATGTATCCGAAGTTTCTCGAGTGCGCTTCTGGGAGCTGGTTCCAGGTTATGTTGTTGGATCAGTATCATTAAAGGTAAAAATAATGGTTGGACACTTTTTAGGGTTTAGGGTTGAGGGTACTTTTGTTTGTCTGGATTTTTGTTGCTTTTATTCTAAATCTAAATTCATTTCTGTATTCTTGAATGGCATTGTCACAGGTTAAAAAGGGCATAGATGATCATCCGATTCTGCAATATGTGCATAATTTATACAATGATTTGGGGGTCCAAGACTTGACCGTACAAGTTGACTAATAGCTAAAGGCTCCTCATTTCTCATGTTGGGGGAGTGAAGGATAGAGGAACCAGGTCTAGTTTGTTGATCTTGAACAGCGGGGCTCTTTTAGAAGCTTCCCCTTTTGAGATGAGTTATGTTAGGATAATCAAATTTTCACATTAAAAAAAAAAGTAAGTGAAAGGTTGTATAAAAGGTTAGACTTCCAAAGTGATTTATGTTATGTACATAACATGATTTGATCACAAAATTTTGTTCTGATTCTTACAATATATTCAAAACATGAGTTATTTGTTACAAATTGAATGGAACTCTTGACAGTGTTTCCTTAATACTTACAAAATGACCACCATAATCAATTAATGATGTCGAATAATTGGGCACATCAAGGTTAAATCTACTAACAGTCAAGGCCAACCGCTGCCGACACCTCCTTCTTCTTCTGCCTCCGCGGTCGAATGAATGTCTTCACACCCAGATGATTTTGTCAAGACTAACCAGTTCACAACCTGATTATTGGTTTAGTTCATATTTTTCCAGGTCCTGACACTATTGTTCCTTTCCAGTCTAAGTATCTTTACATTTCGAAATATATGCTTTGGTGACTATATTCGTTGTCAAAAACTTTTAAGGTTACTAAATCTGTTAAGAGGGTAAACATTAAGGGTGATAAGTGAAGTCTTCGAGTTAATTTACCTGTTTACCGAAAAAGAGTGGGAGTTTGCCTGCCAAATCATAGTAATCTAATTTCTGTTCATGATTTATATCATAATTAATCAACAGATGTAGATCATGGCTGAAAGTTGATTACATTATTTCAGTGCCTAGGACAAGTACTTTCAGTGTCTATCAAGGCAACAGTTCTAGTTAGATAACTGACTCATATATCTTACTTTTTTATTTATGTATGTAATTTACATTGGTAATAGTCAGTTCAATATCTTCTCTTCTTCTCGATGAGTGAACTAAAAGCAGCAGATACACAAAAGTCCAGAAGCCTGAAAGCCTGAGCGACTACTGTTCTGGCCAACTCTTCCCTTTCCAGCCTGTGCGAATACTGTTCTGGCCATTTCTTTTTTTCTTTTTCTTCTTCCCAGTCTTAACTCCTTTTTTTTGGTATACACAACAGAACAACCGAATTTTTTACGAAGCAGAATCAGGTTTATTAGCAAGTTGACTGTTGAGAAACTCGAGCACTGAAAGACGCTGCATGATAAAAAGTGAGGATAAAATATGGTGTGAGCCATCTTTCCAAAACAAAGCTTCCATATTTAAAGGACGCCCGTCTAATGGATAGAGAGAATCAAGGGTCAAACTCTTACCTTTTGTTCAAGAGCAACTTCTTCGGAGCTTAATGTTAAGGATTCCAATAATTTGATGGCTTCTTGAAATCCGTCAACAGCTGAATCTTCATCACCGAGATTTCTATCCACATCTGCAACTTTAGCGAGGGAAATAGCTATATCTAAGACCTGGCAAAAATTTCAGAAACCAATAGTAAGAAAACCAAGTAATACAGTCATACCTAAATCATTGAATCAAAGGCGGCAAAACCTTCTTATGCCTTATTAGCATGAACCATGAGTTGAATATCAAATAAAAGTTCCCAATGGAATTTACACAGTCGAACAGCTACTGGCTAGAACAACATGATTGATGAGAAAAAAAATAATATCATATTGCATGCACCAAATCATAAATAACACAGTATTAAAAGCAACAGATACAACTTAAGCAATGCATATACATGCCGAGCACATTCAAAAGGTGAAACACCAGAACTTCCGTCAAATAAAGGACTATAAAGGACTATAAAGAACTTCCGTCAAAAACGTCAACACATTTGAAGACAGAGACTGAACTTCCAACACTGCGTGATGATTACATCTTGGCTATGTCATAAATCATATGAAATTACCTGAGAGGGGGCACTAGAATGATTTTTTATAGCATTCCGACGAACATCCAAAGCCTTAAAGTAAAGGTTTCTTGCATTTTGCAGGTCCCCACCATAATAATTCAAATCTCCAATTTTGTTAAGGGATACAGAGAGAGTATGCGTGACCTGTACAGATTAAAGAAATATTGAGGAAGTGTAAGTCACAGAGGTAAATCTCATTAGGCCGAGCAATGTGCAACCTCTTAGCTTACCAACTCAAGAAGGAATGTAAAGAACAAAGAGGAAATCCTTATTGCCAAAGCAACTGTTCAATTTATTACCAAAAGATTCCCTTAACATACACCTCATGATTCTTTGTCCTTAATTTGATTAGTAAGGGTATATTCAAGAAAAAGGACCAAAAGGCCCCCTGCATTCTAATTTTTACTTCACCAATAAGGTACTAACAAAAATAAAGCTCAAATATGTACCTCTAGATCTTCTTTGGGAACTTTGGAAAGAAAATCAACACTTTCTTCGAAATACTTGATTGCAGAAGCAGCATCCCCAGAAGTCCGACTGGAACATAAGTTGCATGCAGCACACGGATTCATTATTGAATGAATAAAGTAAATGAACGAGTAAGTTGCAACAATTTGCTGCCTAAGAGGTAAAGAGGTGAAGTGACACAAACCAGCAATCACCAAGCATGCCCAGAACAGCTCCCAATTGGGAACACAATTCAGATGTGCTACCCATTCTTTCCAATTGCTCTCTAATGTCATCAGCACAAATATTAAGTCTTGATTTAGCACTCTCTATATTATTTGCACGAAAAGCCTGCATATAAAGGCAAATTCCCATCATATACGCGGACATAGTTCCATAGGTGATGAATAACAAAAAAAAAATGCATATGCAGATAAGACCACTCAAATTTTCAGTAAGAAGAATGAAGGTGGCCAACTGAAAACTCACCCTCAGGGCTTGTTGCACCAAGAAAGAACCTCTCTCTAGAGAAACATCCTCATAGATCACTCTTTTCTTTTCCCCCACCACATCCTCTTGGTCGTCATTCACTTGAGACCTCTTGATCCTAGCATGACCTTCAATGAATCGGTCAACGACATTCTGAAGATTCGTCTCGGGCTCTACCTTCTCAATGTCAGCACCACACAAAGGGCAGTCCTTAAAACGTGATATACACACTCTGAAATCACCAAGGGTATAAGCATCACAAATTATTCAAACCACTTTTTGCATCAACAAAAGAAAGGAAATTAGAATCTGATGACCTCTCACAGCTTCTTACTTGCAATAAACATGAGAACAAGGTATGCATTTGCTACAGTCGAAAAGAAGTGCTTGACATACAATACAGCTCAGAGGGCCAATTTTAAATGTTTCAGAATCATATCCAAAGGGGCACTTGGGAGGAATAACTGCAGATTCACTGGAATCTTCTTTGCTTTCATTTCCAGTGTGTTGCGTGCTTTGATTTTCAACTGTTTTCATTTCTTTAGAATCATATCCAAAGGGACACTTGGAAGTGACTGTGGCGGTTTCACTGGAATCTTGTTTGGGTTTACTCTCAGTTCCTGACTGTTTTCTAGTTTGGTTTTCACCAGGTTTCTTAGCAGATGCCTCATCTGGACGAGCAGCTTTTACAAAAGGACAAACGGGTGTCATCTTTTTCAGGAAGCTGTAGAATAAAAAAGAAAATTTATGTATTATAAAAAAACAAAGGACTTAAGGCCAGAGACAAAAGGAAATGCAGAATTGGCAAAGATAAAAGTTCTCCATTTAATAAAGTAATATATGAACAGAATATCACAAAAATCTACTGAAAGCTGGATGATGGCGAAGCCAAGCAAAATTTCTCTTTTACTGATCAGAACAAGAGGAAAATCATGAAAAAAATAATTCTTTATGGAGAGAGTTGGGATAATCAACTAAACTCGGTTACTTCTCTAAGCCTAAAATCAACCGAGATTCTATAGTAAATAATTGCACCACATCAAAATTATTTAAATCCCACCTTTTCAGTTTGGGGACAATTAGAATGTAGATAACATCAACAAACCAAACATTGTTTCATAATATAAGAGATTGACTATATGGATAATAACTCGCTATCGAAACACGTGGAGAACATTTTTCATTTTAAGCTGAAATATCTCACTTCTTTTCTTATAGTTGCTTCCTAATCGTAGGTCTTCTCCTCTTATGTTTGTTGGAAATAATGATTCTATGTTTTCTGCATGCCTTACTAAGGCATCTAAAGGCAGATGTCCAAACCACCTTATGTCTTACTCTCATTTTCTCATCCACGCATTCCAACCAGACATCTCAGAAAGAAACACCAATTTCTTTGTTGATCAAATGAAGCCCATATTACACACAAAAAAATAAAAAGAAGCAAGTGAATTCACGGCCACAGTTCAGCTATTTTGTGATCCATACATACGAATTGATGGTTACTTTAGAACCCTTCACTTGCTGACGCAGCTATAATTCCAATGATCAAAGCAAGACACACTACCCAATTGATATTCTTACTCACAGAGAGTCAAATAAACACAGGTGAATTCATTGTTATCTCAAAAAATAGATATAGTAGTTGACCCTTAAAAACGACAACGAGTCCATGCCACAAAACAGCAGTCAAAAGATACTAGTTTTACTCAATCGAAATTGATTCTGAACCATAAACATCAGTAGAAATCAAGCTATTCTGAATAATATTGGCTCTTTGCTTGCGGATACTGTCCTTATGTTCAGTAGCCTGATTATACCAACAATCGCACACAAAAAAACTGCCCCAGTTATTAACAAGTTATAGGAAGTTTCACGGTAAAAGAAACCTAAAAATCACCTCCCATTTTTGTTCATTGAAAACAAGAAAACGAGAAACCCAATGTTGCGCCAACAAGCAAATATCAATATTGTTGTTTCAGCTCAGTTAGAACAATAACTTTAATCGAGACAATTTCTTTACTTCCATATTCAAGCTTACAACCTCGAAAAAGATCCTTTCTTTTTTTTTCTTTTTTTTCCCTCCCAATTCTTTCCCACCGAATAACTGAGATGAACAAAACTATCAACATTAACACAAAAGTATACCCAAAAAAAACACACACACACACACACAATCAGGAAAAATCAATTTTTTTCAGGGTGAACGAAATTAAAACATGGCTCAGCTGAGAGGAAGCAATTGCGGTACCTTGTGCTTCAGGGGTTGTAAGCTGATAACAGATTAGGCAAGCTGGGTAAAGCGGAAAAACCTCATTCCTAAGACCCCAGAAATTTCTGGGTTCGTTTTAGATCTTCGAAATACGTAATAATGGAGGTTAAAAATTGCGGTGAAAAATAAAAGAAAATGAGGAAAATAGTGAAAAATTTGAGGTCGCTGGTGAAGTAAGGATGAGGAAGAAGGGGAACGGATGAGAGTTTAATATCAAAAATACCCCCCAAGTTTAACTCATTATCGAAAATACTCTTATTTCAAAAAAAATATAAAAAGTATCCTTTAATTGGCAAGTTAATTATCAACAGAGTACTTACTAAAAATTGATATATGCGCATGATTTCAGGGGGAAAAAAAAGTGTTGAAAAGATGTTTGTAACCAGTAGAAATCCTTCTTAATTGTTTTTTTCAAACTCTATTAGTATTAAAAAAAAACTACTTCTAAATCCAAAATTCAGCTTTCTAGAACTCATAAAAATGAAATTTTGAATTTAGAAATTGATATTTGATTTTATCAGAGTTGTAAGAAAATTCCAAGAGTGTTTTTAAGACATACAAATGTTTTTTTTTTTTTTTTTTTGCAATTATTTGGCTATATTCATTTGCAAAACCAATTTTGAGTGGTCAAAAGACCCTTTTGATAACCACCCCTAACACTTAGACGTGTCATCATTTTTCATATTTTATGCCCTGATTATCCCAAAATTAGCTCCCAAATTTTAAGATTTGTATTATTATTTGTTGGACAGACTATTTATATTGTCAATATAGCAACATTATCATTGCTGTTATCTTCTTGAAAAAAATTGTAGCACGTCTTCCAATGATGATTTGAGGAAAGTCAATTGAGCAATTTTTGTAGGCAACGACAACATAAGACGTATGTACTGGTTGCCATAGTATGTAATACTAAGTTGCATATAATCACTGGATTTTATTTTAGTTTGTCTCATTCTTACACTAGAGATATTATATTGTCAATGAATAAAAATTGCTAACTGAGGAGCATGATACTGAGTTTTGCTATCCACCTTCCCCAATATTCATCAACCCCGAATCAAGGCTTTTAGACTTGTGTGAAAGTTTATACTATCGATTTAGGCTCATCAGTCTAGCAGACCAATGAAGGGAAACAAGAGTTGATTAATGGAGTACAAGCATTTCAGCCACCCTCATAATTTGAACATCTTCAAAGTTCAACAAGGCCAACAATTCCCCTGCCATGGCTGCAAATCTATCATAACCCAAACTGACTCCAATGTTTATGCTTGCTGGAAGTGCAGGTTCTTCCTTCACGAGCATTGCGGGAAACATCCATCATCCTTCTCACTCTCTTCATCCTTTGGTCTTCATCCCATCTCCAACTTATTGCAGTGGTGTCTTTGTCTGCAATGCTTGTGGAAACATGGGAAGTTCATTTGCATACTGTTGTGCAATGTGTGAGATTGATTTGCATGTCAATTGTGCTTTCTTGCCGCACAAGATTAGCCACCAATCCCATCATCGGCATGAATTGAGAATCAACTATGGAGAGCCTGATATTAATCATGATGGTCATCAAATGCAAAAATGCTCTCCTGAATTGATCAGTTAGGATCCTTGACCTGGTCATATTGTTGTCTGGAGCCTGGTTGCGATTTTCGGGTTCATACTGGCTGTGCCACTACAGACAAGGTCTCACAAACAAGTCAGGATCATTGTAATCCAGAAAGTGAAAATCCCTCGGCAGCTCCGGCGGATCCATTAGCTGAACTGTTGGAGGTTCAGCTTCAGATGCAAAGGGCTCAGGTGTGTGCACAGATGATGTCATCAATCATCTCAGCTGCTAGGATTGGATGAAGACAGCATTGGGTTGATTTTAATCTCTTGTGGAATATTTAAGGCTGTGCCCTGGAAACCTTCTTTTTTATTTTTTCTTTATCTATCTTTACCTTGGATTGAAGTTCCAAGACTGCTGTCCGTTAAGAGTTAATCCTTAATTTGTTCATGAAGTTATTGGACTTGCTTGTCTTGAACATAAATAAAAATTCAAAAGTGAGGTGTAATTTTAACATTTATTGGTACAATGTGATTTTTTTACTGCTAGTCTGTCTTGTTTGGTTACCTTTTTTGGTTGGATATTTGCTAGGAGTATTAAATATACTAGCGCAGAAATGCATGTGTTTAAAAAGCGATGGAAAGCCATATAAAAGGCAACAATTTCAGCATTGTCAGTTGCCATCCAATCTGTTTCATGGGTCCTGTTGTAAATTTTTGCCACTGATGATGTTAATGGGCAACATTAAGATGAACCAACTTGATCATTCAACATTTCAACAGGCTAAAAGATGCAAATGTTCTGGACTGATTTGTAAGAATCAAATCGTTCATATTTTCTGAAATCGTAGGTTTTCAATCAGGCCATAACCATGTCATATATGTCCAATTACGAGTAGATTAGGTCAACTCTGGCTCACAGGAAAACTAGGTTAAACAATAATTAATTTCTTCCTAGCGAGTTCATCAAGTTCTTTTGTGTGTGTGTGTGTGTGTGTTTTTTTTTTTTTCTTTCAAGCAAAGACTGCTAATCTCTTACTCGGTATAATGACAAAGTACATCATCCTATCAGAGCTCAAGCCTCAAGGCAACAGAAATGGGAAAAATGGAATTTGACAGTGCAAAACTCAAAACTGAATGTGGACTATTTTTTTTTTTAGGACGGAGGTAGTACTAAACAACACCCAGATTGCATTACATACATTTATACGATGCAGCCCCAATGACCCTTCCTGATCTTAGTTTGGGCCAGTTGAGGCTTTTCTTTCTATGTCTTTTCAGTTGTTTACACATACATTATTTGCAAAAGTCTTGGTCAACAAATTCAGCATAAACAAAACTGCCTACTAAAAGTCCTCTCTGTATTACATTAATCATGCTTCTTGACTTTGACTTTTCAGCATAAACATATTTCCACTTGCCCTCCTCCATTGATCACTCCCAAACTCAAGTCAAGCTGGCACGTTGATCTAAAAACTTGATGTTGATTTTAAGAGGTTGAAGAATAAGCCAAAAAAAAGAAGGGAGAATCAGAATGGAGTACAAGCATTTCAGCCATCCTCATAACCTGAACATCTTCAAAGTCCAACAAGGCCAACAATTCCCCTGCCATGGCTGCCAATCTCTGTGCCAAACTGACTCCAACATTTACGCCTGCTGGAGCTGCAGTTTCTTCCTCCATGAACACTGTGGGAACGCCACCCGATACCTTCATCATCCTTCTCATTCCCTCCACCCTCTGATCTTGATCCCATCCCCAACTTATTGCAGTGGTGCTTTTGTCTGCAATGCTTGTGGAAACACTGGAAGTTCATTTGGATACTGTTGTGCACTTTGTGAGATTGATCTTCATGTCAACTGTGCTTTATTGCCAACCAAGATCACCCACAAATCCCACCAGCATGACCTGAAAATCAACTTTCGTGAGGCCGATGGTCAAAAGGGCTCACCTGAATTTTGCAAGATTTGCTCTAAAGCAATGGGATCCAAGAAGAATTGGTCATATTGCTGTGTCGAAAACGGTTGCGATTTTCGGGTTCATCCGGGGTGTGGTACTACGCAAGTGAATCTGGGGTGGTATCAGGGGATGGATCCTGAAGATGATAAAGCCCCAAGAACAAGTGAAACTCAGACAGCCCCTTCCCCTGCCCCTGCCAAGTCTGATCCTGTGGCTGAATTGTTAGATCTTCAGCTGCAGATGCAAATGGCTCAACAGTTTGCACAATTGATGTCATCTTTCAATCCGGCTAGTTTGGTTTAGATGAAAGATTGTCTTTAGGAAATCAAAAGATTTGCCTTTTCATCATCCGTTGATTGAAGTTCAAATTAAGAGGTTCCAGTTAATTTATGAATCTTCTCTTGTTTTTTTCCTCAAGAGTCCTTTGCTGTTGGACTTCAATTTCTTGTACTGAACATGAAGCAAAGTGACATCCAATTCTTATTCATGTGTTTTTCTGCCATTTTCTTGTTTGACTTCCTATATACTATGACGGGTACTCTCATACTAATAGCTGTTTCCATCAGGGAGGTTCATTAATTAGGCCACACAATAGTAAACGTTGTATTCTACCCTTAAGTTGGAAGCCACATTTGTTCACTCTTATGGCATTTTTGTTTGCATTTATCTGTGACAGTATATGACAAGGCATTAACTTGCTTATAGAAGAGCTAAAGAGATGGAGGATCATATGTTGTCGTCGTGCTCTATAAAATCGCGTACCTTGCTTAAGTTTATGAATCGCAAATTTAATTTAGTTCACGGATGATTACCTTACCTCCGCCAAGTCCTTTCCTACTTTGTTTCTCCCTAAACCCTTTAACATCACACTTACACACAAGAGGCACAAGAGGAGGCAAAGGACCCTAGAAGATCACTATTTCTTGTGGGGGTTGTTTGTATAAAGGATGAGCTGGCCTAAGAGAAAGTCAAGGATGGATTTGGCTGGTTATCCAAACGTATGCATCCTGTTTGACTGCTTGTATGTTTTTTTTCCCATCTTGTGCTTATGGCATCCTTTTCATGCCCCAAGATTACCTTAGTGATTGCCAAATGGCTTTCAAATCTGATAGGAAATTGAATATATGATCTCACTACAAGTTACAACTTCTTCAGAATTTGTCACAACTTCTGATCTGCCTAACTTTTGGTTATTTTGCATCTCAAGAGAAAAGCAAATAACAATAATAGAGGGAGAGAAAATTTGGAGATGGAGAAGCCTCCAAAGATACCCGAATCAATCCAACATTTCAGCCATGAACATCTTCTTGAGCGTAGATTACTGCCACCCAATGAAGAAAACTGCATCTGTTTTGGGTGCAAACTTGAAGTTTATCCAGGGAAGCTATGTTACAAGTGCAAAGTTTGTCCCTTTTATCTTCATCAGGTATGTTACAACATGCCTCAGAAGGTTCAGCATCCTGTGGATCCAAATCCAAATCATTATCTAACGCTTTACGCCTTACCTTTGTCTGATAACGAGAAATGCATCATCGATTGTGAGGCGTGTCAACAATCCATTTCCAGCGGATTCTACTATAACTGTGCGACTTGCGCCACTTTCTACCACATGTTGTGCTTGGCAACACCTTTATCTGTTAAACTTCCAGTCCATCCTCACAAACTTAACCTCGAATTCTCTCCACCGTATAAATTCAAATGCGATTTGTGTCATGAACCTAGTCACCAAGGTTGGCTATACAGGTGCGGATTATGTGAAGTGGATGTCCACATCTCTTGTGCCATTATGGATTCACAAAATAAGTTTCAGTCACATTTGAGCAACAATATCGTGAAAAGGGATGGCGATAGTAGGCGATACGAGCTGATGGAACTACTCTTGCTGGGAATGATGGATACAACTCAGGATCAACAACTTACGCCATTGCCTGACAACATTGCAACACCAAGTATCCAGTTCAGCGATGCATGCTTCTCCATAGAGATTGAAAGATCTTTTACAGGCGAAAACAGCGAAGCAGATGTCCATCACAACAAATTAGTCCAAGACCAATCTGTGGTGAACAAAGGAGCAGCTTCCCAGCAGGATAAAAAACAGCAGGCTAATCATCATTATCACTATACAAAAACTCCATCTTTTAGCTCGTATGTTGGACCGAAAGGCGAAGAGTTGGTAATTTTACCTCCAGGGATTGGTTCCGAAGTATGGAAGGAATTAGAGCAAACAAAGAATGAGATGAATCATCATCCCAAAAAGGCATCAAAAAATCAGGCTGAATCATCAGACTCAGTGAGTATTTTTTTCTTTTCTTTTTTTTTTTCTGAATGAACATTATTATTGAACTGATGCAGTGATCTATATAAAGGATTACTAGGGATTCAAGATTTTTCTTTTTCTTTTTTTGCAGGGCTGTTGGTGTTCATGTTTGTAAAACTTATCCTTCAGCATTTTTTTTTGTGCCTTTTCCGTGTTGAAAATTCACAGCAAATACCTTAAATTGAAAGAGAGAAGAAAGGGTAGCATCAAATTGTGTAATCCTTTCCTTGTGTTGTAAATTGTACTTAAATTTAATGTCAGCAAAGATCCAAAATGCAATCTGATGTAAATTAAGCGGACTTACACATGAACAAGCTCAAAAACTTGGACTCTGCATTTTCTTTCTTTTCTTGAAAAAGATAATTTGGCCTCTTTGAAATCTTCAACAATGTAAGTATAACACATAATTCACTGGACGGCTTGCCTTCGTTTGTCTATAACTTTAGCTTTTAACTTTATTTCTTGAACGCCAAATGGCCAATTGGTGTACAATAACGACAAAAAATTAAGGTAAAAATCGGGCTGTGTGTTTTTATATTTATAAGTCGAAGGCGACGATTTTCGTATTGACAGTTAGCGACAATTTACCGTATATTACATACATATACACTAACACATTAAGAGTTATGTCGTACACTTGACATTTTTCCGCATAGGTTGGTGTTTTTGGTTGCGTCACAAATTATTACTACTTCTACAAAAACCCAAATGTCTCTTGCCTTATTTGTGTATTCTTGATTTTGACAATAAACGTGCTTACAAAACATGAACAAAATTGGTGACTGTGAGTACAAAACGTAATTAGTTAGATTCTTGAATGGGTCATATCTCAGACTGCAGCGTTTCTATTGTTTAAATCATTCCCAAATTAACCACATTTTCAACTGCTTCCTTCTTCTTTTTGTTCGGTTTTTGTTTTTCAATTTGGAAAGGGGAGTCAGCTGCTACATTCTGCGACTAATGAATCGAAACTGGCTAAATCATCAGGTGATCATCTCAAGGTTTATAGCCCTTTACAAAAGTTCTGGATAAGTCGAAATGCTAAAACATTGTTTGTACATGTAACGTTTTAACAACATTGTTTGTACATGTAACATTTTCCCCTAACACTTTTGAATTAAATATAGGGGTTATCTCCAAGAGAATGTATTTAATTGATTGAATACAACTAATTACAGAAGCCCCGGACTTAGGTGGTCTAATTATTCTGCAAATTCCAATGATTTTTGAAATATTGGATGAGTACATCCATCGTACTAGTTCCACTTGCCGTAATTGTAACAACGCAAGGGCATGTTCCGCAGAAGTCAATGTCTAATTTTTATTTTTATTTTGTAACTCTCCAATAAGTCCGAACATAGATGTACGGTTTGTTATATGTACTAACATATCAATCATTTAAAATGAACAGGATATCTTTAATTGGTTAGTCATAGTACCAAGTTGCATATAATCACTGCCCCCTCCATTTCAATTTGTAGGTTGTTTTAGGTTTGGAAAGATTTTTTAAAATGTAGGTCGTTTTATAAATTCTAGGCAAATTAATGACTATTTTACTAATTTTACCCTCAATAAATGATGCTAATCTATTTTGATTTAGTCTTATTTATAGTTTTAATGTAATTAATGAGGAATAAAATAGATATTTAATACATAAATTAATTGTTGGATGATTGTCTTCTTAGTTTACGTGCAAAGTTTAAAGTGATTTATATTTTGAAATGGATGGAGTAATATTTTACACACACAAAAAGAGAAGTCTTTGGTCAATATTTAATGAACAAATAACAAAGCCTGACACCGAATTCTAATCATCAAGGCATCTTTTGATGATGACATTGACCTTCTTTTTTTTTTTTTTCATTCCCACTTGTCTTGCCCATTATTCAACAATATTCCAATCTTCCATCTCTCTCAAAACTTATTGAGTTTGACCTGTTTACTTTCAGCAATTCTGAACCATTTAAGTATGGTCATGTAGCTGAACAGAAGACCAAAGCCAAAAAAGATGGAGTACAAGCATTTTAGCCATCCTCACAACCTAACCATGTTCAAAGTGAAAGAAGCACACCAACCATACACAATGTCATGCCATGCTTGCAAATCTCTCATCAACCAAATGGACTCCAATGTTTATACTTGCGTCCAATGGGATTGCAGCTTCTTCCTTCATGAACATTGCGGAAACGCAACCCGATACATTCACCATCCTTCTCATTCTCCCCACCCTTTGGTTCTAATCCCATCTCCAACCTATTGCAGTGGTTCATTCATATGCAATGCTTGTGGGAAGACAGGATCCTCAAATGCATATTGTTGCACAATGTGCGAGGTTGATCTTCATGTCAACTGTGCCTTCTTGCCTTTCAACATAACACACAAATCACATCAACACGAGCTGTTCCTCAACTTTGGAGTAGAGGGTAATGGTGATGGAAATGGATCTTCTAAAGCTTGCAAAGTATGCCATGAAGATTCGGGATGTTGCAACAAGTATTGGTCATATTGCTGTAAGGAGCCTAACTGCGATTTTCGGGTTCACACTGGATGTGGTACAACAGAAGTGAAGCTAGGGCTGTATCAAGGGGGAGAAGATCCAAATGATGATGAACAAGCCATAGAGGAGAAAAGTAGTCATGAACATGATGATGGTGGAGTGTTTGAACTCCAGCGGCTTAAGATGGAGATGGAACAACTTAATCAGCTTCATCAGTTTCAGTTGCAGATGTCTCAGCAGTCTGCACTAAGTATGATGTCCTTGGGAAGTTCATTGGCCAATTTAGGATGAACAACCAAGGCTCGTTGGCTGGCAGCTGGCTTTTGAGTTCTTCTCCTCTTCCGCCATTAAAGATTTCATGCATATGTGTTGCTTTTTACCCATTTTTCTGTTATGTACTCCATGAAATTGGAAAGTGAGTCGTGTTTTCTGTTCGTGATTGTTTTCCTTCTTGATTCTGCAACTTGATAGGGCTTTTAGCATCCGGAACAAAATTTGTCTTCATTTTCAAAACTCTCTTATTTGGTGAAACCTTTGTTTTTCTTTTCCTTTCCCAGATATCTTCCCTTAATCTCCCTCTTACTTTCTCCCGGATCTCAGAAGGCTCAATCTGTTTGGCTATTTCTTTGCAGCGCTCTTCCTTGCCCCAACGGTTTTTTTAAACATCGTTCCTTTTGTCCCTATCCAACTAAAGTATAATTTGTCAATCTAATCAAAGTATTGAGATCTTGCATAGTTTTTGACAGAGTTATGCTCTACAATCTTTCAAGATAATTTGGGGTGACTTTTGCTAGGCTGCAATAAGGAGGAAAAAGTTAGATAGGTAAATATTTAACTTTATTTTGATCGATTCTCAATTAAAAATGAATTGAAGTTAGATATTTCACAGTAAATATTGTGATTTTATTTTGGATACTTTCTTAATTTTTTAGCGACAGACACAGGGAAGAAACAAACATTGAAGGCTCAAAGTTTGCCGGAGTGACTAATAGTTGTCTGCGTTACTAAGGAATTCCAAGGTAGTTTCTGTCATTTGTGATGAAGGTTAAGGGGATCCCAAGATTACAAGACTTAGCCAAGGCTGTTTTCTTTCGCTGAAAAAAATCAAGACATCACATAAAGGTTAATGGAGAAGAGATTAAGAGAGAGATTCGGTCATGCGGGAGAGGGGAAGAAAATATATTTTATAAGGGTTTTGGAGAGGAATACAAACTTTGTTACGGGATCTAACGATTACCTTATCTCTGGTCATTCTTTTGAGGTGACTTGAAAAGATTTGGATAAAAATTACATTGTCATCTAGAAAACGATATTTATATAAGAATATCCACATTTTGCTTAAATGATACTTATTTCAGAATATAAGAAGTATAAATTTGAAACTCTTTATGAGCTAGTATATGTACATATATTTTCTGGAACAGGAGTAATATAGTGTAATATAATAAAGTATTTATTTAAACAAGAGAGCGAGAGCAATTACCACTACTTTTAAGACTTTCGCCCGTCTTTATTATGCAAGATATATATACCACTAATATATAGAACAAATCTGCATCCACGTTCCCAAGTGAGGAAATTGGTGAAATTTGTGGATCCGCTAAAATGTACGGCTAAAATAATTATGAGTACGGAGTATCATACCAAGTTTTGCATTTGGCCTTTAATTTGCACCACAAAAGAGTTCTTAGCAAATAAATTAATTCAGCAAAAATAGAAGCCTGTTCCGTACGTGCCAACCTCAACAAACCAGCTGGAATATTGGCATTGACTTTTCTCAAAGGTAAAGAAATTAGTAGTGCAATAATCAAGTTGGCACGTTGACTTTCTGAATTTGTGAATCATATTATATATATAAACCTGTTCATAAATGAAGTTGATGAGAGTGAAAGAAATTATAGACGGAAGAAATTGGAAAAGGGCAGAATAAATGGAGTACAAGCATTTCAGCCATCCTCACAATCTCAACATCTTCCAAGTCCAACAAGGCCAGCAATTCCCCTGCCATGGCTGCAAATCTCTCATTACCAAAACCCTCTCCAATTTTTATGCCTGCTGGAATTGCAGTTTCTTCCTCCATGATCAATGCGGGAACGCGGCCCGATTCCTTCATCATCCTTGTCATCCTCCGCACCCTTTGATTTTGATGGCATCCACAACTTATTGCAGTGGTTCATTCCTTTGCGATGCATGTGGCAAACCAGGAACTTCATTTGCATATAGTTGTGCAATGTGTGAGGCTGATCTTCATGTCAACTGCGCTTTCTTGCCTCAAAACATGACCCACAAATCCCATCCTCAGCATGAGCTGAGGATCAACTTTGGAGGGCCTGATCCTGGATTATGCAAATTATGCAATGTAGTCATGTAGATCTGTCGTCCAACAAATACTGGTTTTATTGCTGTGTGGAGCGCGGTTGCGATTTTCGGGTTCACGCTGGATGTTGTGGTACTACTACAGAAGTGAAGCTAGGGTTCTACGGAGGACAAGGTCCAGATGTTCATGAACAAGTCAACAAACCAAGTGGTCAATATTATAAGATTCAGATAGATCCCGAGGCTGAAGACATGGAACGACTTCAGAAGCAGATGGAGGAGGATAATCGGCTTCATCGACTTCGGATGCAGATGATTCAACAGACAATTTCAAGCGCAGCAGCTCGTATGGACGCATTGGGCAGAATTGGATAACGACCAATTAGTGGGACTGCTGGCTTTGTGCAATTTCGTCTCTCTTCTTCTTTTTTTTTTTTTTTTTCCAACAAGAAAAGTTCTTCTGCATGGATTAATGTTTGTAAAGGTTTTGTTTTTCTTTCTTTTTTTTTTTTCATTT